GTAAATACTAATTTCGGGGGGGGGGTCCAAAAATCGTATACTAGGACAGACCCCCATGTTTATATCGATTCTCTAGATAAACTGTGAAACTTGAAACAATTATTCATTTCTTTTTTAGGATTAAAAATGGCCGATGATGGTGTTTTTAATTCATTTGATCAAAGTAAGTTGGTTAAATTATTTGTAAATTATTGGCTACACATGAAATGCACACTTTTATAACATACAGGGGTGTATTTGTTGAAAAATGGAGACAAAGAATTTAAAAGAAGAAAAAAATGAAAAGGGTGCCGAGGATAAACTTGTCAGTTGGTGACTAATTTCTTAATTTTTCCCAAATACATCATCATGAAAAATATGGTTGAAAATTGTTTGTTAAGCTTCTCAGTCCGGAGAAAGAGAACTTGAAGCTGAAGAAGATCTAGATCTAGAGGATGAGAATAGTGTTGAACAAGGGCAGGCTGTCATCAATGACCTCCTAGAGATGGTGGAGGAGGAGAGAGATCCGAATTATGTTCCTTCACTTAGTCCCAGGAAATCCGCCAGAATAAAGGTAGTGTTCACTAAATCACGACAAACTAAAGTTAGTTGCTTGTAAGATTAAGTTCTTACAGTTTTCAATCATAACTCTTTATATTAAAGAGCTATCAAGAACAACAAAAATGTTTTTTAAAGTATGTAACAGAATAAACTTGTTTTCTCAATCTTGTGCTTTAAATCTAAACTAGAGGCGGCGCTACGAGGTCACGAAGAGGTACCAGTAATGTCGAATGAAATTTACCTTCTCCCTCTGTTTAGCTCACAGTGAAATGTGATCTTCTGTGTACAACTACATTGTTTACATTCCTCCCACAAAATGACAGATATTTTAATAATTAATAATTTTCTTCAAAGTGTTCACACATTTTATGGACAGGCTGCTCTGTTGTTAATGAATTTCGCCCTTAATCATTAAAATTGGAACAAAAATTCAAACATTGGTATTCAAATCTATATTTGGTTCAAAATGGGATACATTAATTAGTATTAAAATTGGAACAAAATTTAGACATAAGTATTCAAATCTATATTTGGTTCAAAATAAGATATGTTAATTAGTATTAAAACTGGAACAAAAATTCAAACATTAGTATATTCAAATCTATATTTGGTTCAAAGTTGGATATATTAATTAGTATTCAAATTGGAACAAAAATTTAAACTTTAGTATTCAAATCTATATTTGGTTCAAAATGGGATACATTAATTAGTATTATACTCGTAATAAATTGGAATTTCGACGAAGTTATTTTACTATTTGATGAAGATGATGGGGTTAAGAAGCAATATAAATCTTATATGTTAAATGAAATAGATCATTATGTTATGTGGCCCTAATTGTATCTCTTGTTAAAGGAACTTTCGACGTAATTTCTCCATTGAAAGAGTAACATGCATGATCAACATCGGTACCCATAAACTTTAATTGATGACAGATAAGGAATTTGATCGTTATTCTGTCTCGAAAAGAGATTAACGAAGTTCTCATCCGGTCTCGCCTGTTAAATCCGTAAAGACACTTCTTCAAAGCACTCCCAATTCTGAAATCTTAATTTTCATTTTGGATACCCTGTCAGTTTCGCGCAGTTTTGAAGAGCGCCGATATGAATCTATCTTTTACGTTATAAATGAGAATTTATCAATATTACGTGAACAGTCCCTTTATTAATGAATATTTGTAGGCACGAGGGAGAGGTGATTACAACCCGTCTAGAAGAGAAAGGAACTGTAATCGTATCTGGGAAGAGAGAGAGAAGAAATCATTTCTGATGGGACTGAAGAAATATGGATCCAAGGTGATTAAACACAGATACGCAATTGTAATATTTTTTCAGGGGGGGGGGCGGAGGCATGATGAATCGTTATTTTTTGTAAATTTTTATAACTCAAAAAAAGATCAAACGCCTTTTTTTGGTTTGCCTTGATAAATTCAGTTTTATAATATTTAAAAATGGGTTTCAAATCTAAATTTACCATATAAGGAGATAGAGGCATGACACAAAATTTAACAAAAGTTGGAGTGAGCCTCAACAGTAAATTTATTTGGTATGCAGACAGAAAGCAAGTAAGAAAAGAATGGCTTAAATGCAAAGTTAACACAAATTTTACAGGCGAGCTAAAATGCAATACATTAGAAATATTCTTTTTTTGTATGTAAATTATCCAAACCATATAATTAATTGATTCGGAACAATAATTCCACGATGGGATACAGTCCAGGGCGGCCCATAAATATTCATATAATATCAATAATAACTTCAACTTTCTCTTCAGGGGTTTACATTTTTTTGACAAATAACTCCCCCCCCCACCCTCTTTTGAAAATAATATTTTCCCTCAATAAGTTAGTATATTTGCACTGAAAAGGAAAAATGTGCAATTTTCACTTAAATCTTATAAATATACACCCCTGTTTCTCTTCGTAGTTAAATCAATGTGAATATGGTGTGTAACAGTAGGGGGCAACAGTAATGGACCAATTATACACGACGTCAGAAAACAAAGTAAATTTGTAAAACAGAGAGTAAAGAACATAAAATTGCACTTATTTTACCGTAAGATAAGCACTTTTTTAGTTATCAATATTATCAATAATTTTGACGGACACAAAACCTAAGTTGACACGTGTGACGTAAGAATATAGCTGTATTGAGTGTGTACAAATACTACGTTGCCATCTAATGTACTAGAATCTATTTGGTGTATAATAGTTCTAGGAAAAGGATCCTGAAAATCTTGATTTCAATCTACCTTTTCTCAACCTAACCTTTAATCAATGATATTATAGAACTGGAAGCAGGTTGCGTCCTGTGTATCTACTAAGACTCCTGATGTGGTCAAGTCCTGGATAGAACGGGAGAAAATGAAACAATCTTTTGTCCTGGAAAGACGGGTGGTCAAACCTGACGGAAAAGTTGAGGTTAGATAATTCTATTTCACTTCTATAAAATCTTATCTATGAAATATTTTTAGGAGAATTAACGATTCAGAATGGTATCATAGAAATGCCTTTGAACATTCTGGATTAAATACCCATTTTCTTTCGATATTCAGGTGTTAATGGATGGAATGAAGAAGTCGAGGAAGATAGGGGATGTACTAGAGGAACCTACCGAAGATTTTAATACCCCTGACCAACGCGAAAACATTACGTAAAATATTTAGAATAACAAACTAGATGTATCAAAGTAATAAATTAAACTGAAGGCGGTTAAATTAGGTGGAAATATTTGTAAAAAATGAAGAAAAGTGAAAATGAAAGGAAATGTAAAATTAAAAGTTAATGCGTAGAAGGATTTTAAGCTTGGAATTAAGAACTAAAAACACATTTTCAATTACAAAATGACGATAACTGAACAAAGGAGCATAGAAGATTAAACGAAATAAAGGATTTAAAAAAAGGAGAAGTTGTTTTAAAAATATATCTTGAAAACAAAATAAAGTATTAACTATTGCGGTAAATCAGTAAAATACTTATAAATCTTAAAAAGACTGGACGTGTAATTTCAAGTGACCCTTCCGGCAAAGATGTCACTGCCCGATTCACAACTGTACCCTTGAAAACCCCGTCTAAAATGTGGAAGATATTTTCGTTTTTCTAGATCTAAAAATACTTCTAGCTTTTGTAGAGAAACCACAACTGAAAATTGTCAGTTTTCAACAATTTTTACCTTGATATCTAATTTATACTTGATCAGACAAGGCATTGCCATCTTTGCATGGAAGGGTTACTTAAAATTCTGTTTACAGTCCCTTTAATTGATTAGAATTGAGGAGACCCTGGTCAGACCTAAACCTGAGAATCCGACGGATAAATGGCTCCAGATGATTGAAGATGATGCGGAGAAAGAGGAAAAGAAAAGGGAATCTGCAGGTAAGCACTTTAAATTTTTTAAAAGAGATGTTTTTGTTTCCGGGGTGTAATGATCGAATCTCGGAGTTTTTCTATTGCGAAAGTTTGGTGTTGTAGGGGTTTTTGTATTGATCTGCCAGGGGGTTGTAATCTGGTAGCTCATTCATCCGTCCACGCTCCATTTATTCTGAGAAGAGGGTTTACAAGATTCTAGCTGCCTAAGGGCTTCTTAGGCCTGAGAATAGTAGAGTTCAGGAATTCTTCTGATGTACTGAAATGAGGCCTGGGTGCCTTAACAGATATGAAACATCACACTAATTGCTCCCAATCATTTTTAACCCCGTATTGGATACCCCCAGCTACCCCTAGCTGGCAACCATAGACTCTCGCTGCTTGTCAGCCTTTCCTCTCTTCATCATCATTCACTTGGATCAACTCATTTCAAGTTTCTTTCTTGTAGAAAGTAGAAAACTCGCACCCTTTCGCTGCGAGAGTTGTTGACAGCCGCCTAACTGTCCTCCTACATCCGTCAGGTGGTCATAACTGCAAAACCAGATATTGACTACAGATGATTTTGAAACCACAGGTTTGTGAGAAGTGCGGGAATCAAATCCGTGAACACCAGCCAGAGCCTGCGATTTAAAAGCTTCGGCTCGAGTCTTAATTCCTTAAACGCAGCTTTAAGACCCAATCTTAGACCCAACTCTGACGACAGCTTGTGCGAGATTATGCATACAGNGTTTTAGTGGAGAATAAGGCTCAATGTTGGGTCTTATTCTCATCAAAACTCGGAATGCACCAATTCCAACTATGAAAATCCGCCAAATACAACATTAAACCGGTTTTATGAACTAAATTCTGTTGAAAAATAGATGCAACTTAAATTCGAAAGCCCAAGCCGTAAATAAGGCTCAACAACAGCTTAGACCCGAGTCGTATTTTCTTGAATTTTTTAAATCGCCGGCTCTGGACAACAATCCAGTTACTAGCTGCGGTCAAGTGTGCTTAACTTCAGTGATCTAAAGAGAACTGATCTCACATACTAGCCACCCCACCCCAACCCACTACATGCCACCCCCCCGCTCTAATTAGCCACCACACCCCTCTTTAACTAATCATTAGCCAAAAAGTTTTGATCGAGATATAGCTCAGCCGTGTAGATTAGCCACATATTCTTAACTGAAACATTAGGCATGAATGAGCTTGTTCCTTTACTTTTGGTTAGCTATCTTTGGAAATGTCTAGCTCTCTCATTTGTTGACTTCATGAAGCTAGGCATATCAGAGTCGGGTCATTAAACTGTTCAGTATTAACGGTTCAGCTAATGGGGGGAGATAAATCGACCTGTGTTTTGCTTTCATATCAAGAAGGGTTCTTATTGGTCAATCACTATGGAATGGATATATATTGGATTACTCGAATTTAAAATTTAAAAATTCCGTTTCTAACTGGTCTACTAAATTACGAAAAAAGAAATAAGGAAATGATCGATGTTTAAAATTCTTCATTACAAAATAGTGAAATTATACGCTTGCATTTATTTTTAAATCAAGATAACCCTTGTAGAGGCTTCTTGATAAGAATGTTTCTACCAAATAATGATAAAACGTTCACCATTGTTTCTCAGGGTTAGGTAAAGCTCCGAACTGTGACAATATAATCCCGATGAGTCTGCGCTGGATTGCAGAGTTTGAAAAACATCCTGATCCTGGTTCATGTAGAGGAGTGGACTATGCAGCTATATACAGGTCAATCAAAGGGTGTGATTATGGTGTTGAAANGTGTAATGAATAGAATAGAACATTTTCATTAATTAAATCAAAAGGAATGTTGGAAATATAAAGCTTTAATTTCTTTATTTTCTAGATATTTTGCTAATCTAAGTGAAGGTGAAGTGCCTCCTGACCTAAACCCTGTAACTGCTCTTAGGTATTTCAAATCATTTTTCTTTTTTAAAATTAGAACGAAACAATTTTTTAAACGTAAAATATGATTTGAGATAAAAATATTACTTGGTGATTTCATTTCCAATTTTTTGTTTTCTTGATTCTTTATCCAGCTTTGCTAAATATTCCTTGGTCAATATTTATACCAGAAGTATTTTACATTTTTAAGAATTATTCTTTGATCTGGAGAAGAAAAAGTTTTTCGTTTTTTTTTTGACACGTGTCAAATTATGTTTTTTCCCTACACATTATTCATTTCCCAATTGAGCGAATAAACTCTTAAAAAATAAAAGAATAAGAAGTAGTTTTCAAGAAAAAATATATATATACCTCTTTGTATCAGGGTGACCAGGCTGCTGACCGACCTAGGGGTGTTGGTAGCAACGGATCCACTCAAGAAGGAAACCCAGTACCTGGAGAACTACAGGGGGTCATATACTAGGTAGAAGAGGGTTCATTGTTTGACAGTTTAACAAATTAAATTCTGATATCATCGTAAGATGGCAAATATCTTTAGGAAACATTCTACCGACTTTATATGCCGATGGCGAAGTTGTCGGGTAAAAAATTCTGGACTTTATATGTTCGCATTCGGTTTCTCTACAAGGAAGGTTTAAAATTGGTCAAGAAAGGCTAAAGAAGGGGTTAAAAATCAGGAAAATGGGCCATTAGACAAATTTTGTAATTTTGTTTGAAACTAGTTTTTCCTTAATGCTTCTTTTTTATTCATTGTTCATTCATAATCATTAATTTAATAGAAATGTAATTCTACGTGAACCTAATGTTAGCTAGCATTTATCAATATTCTGTGTTGGACTCTAATGATACCATTGAGGACGCACAAAAGTGTGACAAAAACAAACATACATCGCAACTTTATTCAATAATACACTGACATTTAGATACCGGACCGCAGACAACTTTGATGCTAATTCAAAATCAGCCAAAATGTTAGGTAAGACAAATATATTTCTGTGTTGGTGTTAGGATGAGGGGTCAAACGCCATCCTCAAAAATAGCTGTCAAAATACAATTAATAATAGATAAGGTATAGGAATAGGCCAATGTCTTAAAAAAATGTATTTTTCCAAGTGACTTTTCCCAGAGGCACATCCAAAATCGTAATGTTTCATATAACTTGCAAAATTAAGATATGTTAACCTTTTAAATGAAATATTTGAATGAATTATTTCAGAGACTTGGCTTGTGTATCTTTTAAATTAAGGTTTTAAAATTTTATGATGTTACTATTGGATTAAGAAATCAGTATCCCTTGAATGGATTTTACTATTAGATTAAGAAATCTGTATCCCTTGAATAGATTTTGCTATTAGATTAAGTAATCAGTATCCCTTGAATGGATTTTACTATTAGATTAAGAAATCAGTATCCCTTGAATGGATTAAAAAGTGAAAAAGTGAAAGATACAATTTGATTATAATTCAGTTTGAATAATAAGAATGTCGATATAATGCATATTGTTTATTTTGAAAAGAAAGCCAAACAAGTGTTTTAAAAGTTACAAATTTAATGTATTGCATACATTTATTGTATTTGATGTTTTAGTTGAAAATTTATCTGGTGTTTCTCCCATACCATATGTTACATTTAGCCCAGTTGGTGTTTTTTATACGTTCCATACGTTCATAGATTTTACGAACAGAATATATTTTATAAAAAGATTACATCTGATTATAAAAGTACGAGTCGCTTAAATATGAAATAGCCTCCAATTGTCTCCGGCATTCGACATTACATTTAAATTTCTGAACAGGAGACCTGTCACGTGTTCCTGGGCTTAATCCTCTAGATCTCCATCTTGAACTGTTCACCCAGAGAAATATAGGTAATTTATGATCATTTAATAACAATGAAAATATTAATTACTAGGCTTTCAGGGCGCTTCACTTCAATCTTTTATAGCAATTGAACGTTTTCTCTTTGTATACATTGTAAAATAAAAAAAATTAAAAACGTTCGCGTATTTTATCAAACAAAAATTCGTGGATTTTCAAAATTTTATGAAAATTGAATTTTGTTGAAGGCTAATTTTTTTAATTTTGATCATCCATACCCTTCCCTGGGGTCATGTGAGGTCCCACACCAAATTTGGGGCCGATCGGTTCTGCCGTTTATTGATTACAAACAAACAAACAAATAAAAAAACAACATATATATAATATACTAGAAATTCATGGCGCTTCGCGCCCTTCTTTCTAGGCTTTTAGGGCGCTTCGCGCCCATCTTCTATTTAAATTGTGAACATGTTCTTTTTGTTTACATTTCAAAACAAAGATGAAAAAAGTTTTGCGGATTTTTAAAAAAAAAATCGCGGATTTTCAAAAATTTAATCTTTTTTACAAAATTAAAAACCTCTAAAACACAAATTTTTTAAATTTCAATCATTCATAAACCTTCCCTGTGGTCCCTAGATGTCCTACAAAAAAATTGGGCCCGATCGGTTCAGCCGTTTTGACGTTTATTGGATACAAACAGACTGACAAACAGACAAGCCAAATTTATATATAGATACAGTTGCTACACATAGAAATATAGATAATTTCTAATCATTTCCTAATAAACAAAAAACGTGAACAATGAAAATATTACGCATAAAAATATAGGTAATTTCTCATCTTTAAGAAAAAACAAAAAATGTGAAAATATTTAGCATGCTTAAGTTAACATCTTTTATAAATTTTCGTAAAACATATCTTAGAATTATTTGTACAGCCGGTCTGAATCCGATTAGAAAATTGACACATCTTCTTAAACAGATTGGTTTTCGATTTTCATACATATAACAAGGTCACCAACTCAATTGAAAAATAACCCATTAATGATAATATGTTCAGATTCTATGGCTTAGCTTAATGTCAGCTGAAAGTTAACAACACAGAATAGATATTTTGTCATTGTAATGTTAAATAAATAATATTAACCTAGTTTTTTTTTAATTTGGTTAACATTTCATAGTTAAAAAAGCTAATGTCTTTTGATAAAGATAAATCTTGAAAATTTGTAAAAAATAAAATTTTTAGATAGCAAACGTTTGGCTGTAGTTGTTAAAGAAGAAGACCCTCTGATAGACGTGCCTTAGGACGGTGGGCTTCAAACAGTTTATCTAAATCTCAGATCTCACAAAATACAATATACATCGCATACTTTGTATCTACCATTTAAAAAACTGTGATATTAAATAAATATTATGATTAAATATTTTCAGAAGAGGATGTTCAAATTGTTGTGATAAAAGAAACTTAGATAGTTAAAAAATGGCAAGTTTATGTGTAGCTTATTTTTTATGGTTGTTTGGTGGATTTTTGGGTCTTCACCATTTTTATCTTGGAAGAGATAAACAAGCTTTTCTTTGGTGGTGCTTTCCAGGAGGTAAGTTGATACAGTAAAGTCCTTTTTAAAGAGGGGGGGGCGGGGGGAGCCCTTGAAGCCCTCGTCTTTCCAATATTACTTTTTAGTTTTTATAATTATTTCTTGACTCTTGAACTTCTCGTATTTTAGGATATTTTGGTGCTGGTTGGATCCGAGATCTATGGAGAATACCAGAATATGTTGCAGACTGTAATAATGAGCCATCACATGTCAGGTAAGCCATCCCCCCCTCTCCCACTATATATTCCTATTTACGATAGTCAATAAAAACAAACTTGAAATTGTGAATATTAAATGTATGTTTTGATAAAGTGGAAGTAAGAGTTTTTTATTAAGATTTGCATTTCAATTTAAGAAAAAAGAACAAATAAAATGGATGGAAGGTTCTATTGGTGATTATTTTTTTTTTGGGGGGTGGGGGATACAATGATATTTAGTGCTTGGCTTTATTGATCACTTCATTAAAAAATTTAAAAAGTTTAGCTTATTTATTAATTGAAAATTGTCCTATTTTACTCCAGGAAAGAGCGTCGGCCTCAATTTCGTTGAATAATGGGCTGTCTAGTCAATAATAATAAGCAATTTTAGATCCATAAAAGAGAAGATGAAGGAGCAGGAGATCCCTGCCTGGAAGATGGCCAGGTGGTCCGGAATGCTCGGTAACAAACCAGTTTGTAAAGGGATTGATGAACATTGTTTGGAGTGATGCTTAATTTAAGAGAGTGCCGTTAACTATTTATGACATTGCCATTTAAAACTGAATTTCATAGAGAGACTGATGTTTTCTTTAATAATTGGAGACTACTGGAGAGTACCGGAGGGTTCTAAATTCAGTGGAGAGAAAATTATTCCTACTAGAGAGCTTTTAAATTTTTAACAAAATATAAATTCTACCGGAGGGTTTTCATTCCAATGAAGTAAATGGCATTTTAAAATGGGGAGCATTTGAGTTTTTACAAAGAGCAAAATTCTACTGTTTTTTTTTACTTTATTGGATGGATGTTCTGTGTGTACTTAAAATGTTTGAATTTTTCCACGTTGTGATTTATATTTTACCTGGTTTTCAACTATTGCTTTTCTTAACACTACTGGGTAATGATTCCATTCTTTTTTACTGATATATCTGCAAACCTATATATAATGCACTCTTTAAGATATTAACAATAACAAATTTGCCAATTTTTTTTTTAAGTGGCAAATTTCTAAAAATTACAAAAAAAACTAAATAATTTTGAGGCAACACTTTTTAATTCTGATCGACAAAAAACCGTCCCTGGGGTCATGTGTAGAGTTACCATAGATAATTTGGGCCAGATTGGTTACGCTGTTTATTGGATATAATCAAACGAATGTTAAAAACCGTTATATCTTCCATGATTCTGTAAAAAGTGTGAACTGGAACTCAGTAAAAAAGAAAACTTAAAGTAAACGTTTAGACCAACTTAAACATCTTATACGATACAAATTTCACAACGGGAAACATTAGGGACAAACTGGATGGGTATTCCAAAAAACATAAGAGACCTAATTAATTTAGATTTGTTTAAAGTTCTTTAAAAAATTGTTAAAAATGTGTATAAATACATCTAAAATTCTTATCTAAGATATGATTCACTTTGGATAAAAACTCAAACCTGTTTTTGTACACAATCTAATCCCTCCAGTGAATTAAAAAACACTCCGGTATAATTATTAATTTAGATTTTAATTCAATGCTCCCTGATATAAATAGTTTGTACTAAAACTAAAAAAGTCTCCGGTAGAAACAATTTTCTCTCCACTGGATTTAGAACCCTCCGGTACTCTCCAGTAGTCTCCAATTATTAATGTCTCTCTATTAAAAATTTTCTCCAATTATTAAATTCTCTGTAAGAAAAATTTTAAAAAATCTGGAATTAAAAAAAAACAGGCTTTCTATTACTTATTTGTGTAGAAATCCACGTTGCGCTTTCTACAATTACTAATTTTACGTTTTTTTTTAGATATGAAATATTTATTCTTTGATTCTGAGATAATTATTTGAATTGTACTTTTAGGAATCCTTTATGGTCTAATTTGATTTTTATAAATGATTTAAGTTGTTGGAAACATGTTTGGTTTACTCCCTGGAATGGCAATACCAAATAAAGAAGATTTAGGAGCAGGTATATAATTGAATATTCAATCATTTAATAAACACACATAATTTTAGAAAAACTGGTAGAAATTAGTCCAGAGCTGATCGTGATCTGTTAATTAATCTGAGATGGGAACTTTAGAATGGAGGATATCAGGATTAATGCTTAATCCTCTGTTTTTGCTAATCTCGAGACTAACATAATCTCGAGATTATGTTAGTTTTGAGATTAAATATTTAGATCAACAAATTGGATTCTAAAAACGCCAGATTTGTTGGTTTTCTTGACTGAAAGGGCCCTCACTTAATTTCTCACTCATTTATTTACTAATTCATTAGTTAAAATTGGTTACAAAAAAATCTCAAACGTATTATTAAGTATTTTTCTTCACCGACTAATTTACAAAATGGCCGACAATGGTCTATATTCCTGCACTCTCATTGGAGACAATAATGTAAGGATATTCAAAGAGTGAGAAAAAGAGTGGATTAAGGACTAAAATGAAAAGTTTCCACAGTGGATATTCGGATTAAGTAGTTGGGATTAAAGGTTATCCATTCTAAAGTTCCCAGCTCTGAAGATAAAACTCATGAGGACAGCAAGCAATATTTAATCTGGAGATTAGAAAAAGAGCGGATCAAGCATTAATCCCGATATCCACCATTCTAAAGTTCCCAGCTCTGTTTGACTGTTTTTAGAGTTTTTTTTTAAATATTAAAGTTTGGAAAACTCATATTTGCTGTTTACTGACTTTGAACCTGATAGCTACAGTGCTAATCTAAATAACCCGGAATAATATTATTTTATTGAAGACTTGAAACTTGAAAAAGTTTGCGGCATTCATTATAGATGATCTAATTTAGCAATTATGAAACAATAATAAAAAGTCTGCCATTTTGTTGCTTAAAAAATACCACAGATGTTACGAATTTTGTTTAGATTTCAGTTTATTGAAGTAACCATGAAAATGTTTAATTCTGAACGAAATCATTCATATCTCCAGAAAATAAAAACGCAAAAAAATGGCAGACCACAGGTCTTCAGTCAATTAATATTATTCCGGGTGGTAAATCATAACTGTATTATATATATTATTAAATAAAAAATTTATAAGTAAAACTGTAATATTATTTGAATTTAATCCTTAGTAAAAGTTGGTTAAGTCTCATATTTTGATTAATTCTATTGTAAATCTTCCACAGATCTTTCCTTCTTGAAACCCCTGCTGAACCCTCTCGGTACTGCCATTGGTATCTGGCTGGTGGGAAATGTTGGCAGGTTAGGAGAAAATCAATTTTGTTTGAAGTTGGATTGATCGATATGTTGTGTTGTTGGTAATTTGATTGATCGATTGGTGGTGTAATTGATTGTTTAATTCATTGATTTAGTGTTCGGTTGGTAGTTTGATCGACCTGTTGGTGATTGCTATGAAAAGGAAGTAATTTACATCATTTGATTGATTGATTGTTTATTTTTTATTCAAGATGAATATTTGATAATTGATTGCACGTGATTTGATTTGTTGTGTCATTGATTAATTCGATAATTTTGTTAATAAAGTATTGATTGATTTAATGTTTGTATTCTAGATGGAAAGGAAGTATATTACATCCTTTGATTCATTTTTTGATTGATTAATTGGGTGAACTAATGTTTGTATTCAAGATGGAAAGGAAGTATATTACATCCTTTTATTGGTTGGTTGATTGATTGATTGTCTGTATTCAATGTCTAATGTCTGTATTCAAGATGAAAAGGAAGTATACTACATCCTTTGATTGATTGATTGATTGATTGATTGATTGAACTAATGTCTGTATTCTAGATGGAAAGGAAGTATATTACATCCTTTGATTGGTTGTTATCTAACCCTTCCCCTCTTCTTCTTCGGGATCAATCCAGGCTCATTATCTACTCTTGTTGGTATGCATTTTTCACTCTTACTTATGGAAGGGACTGTCCTAGTAATTTTGTAAAGAATTTCAAAATATAAATTGCAGAATAGGTGAGAATTAACAAACTATGCGTATTAATAATTTTCGTGTTTTTAGACCAGAAAAAAAGGGGTTTAGGACATTGTTGTGTATTATTTATGTCATATTTATCAACAATACATTTCAGTTATATTTTTTTAAATGGACTCATGAAACCTAAAGTTTAAAAATTTGTTGGACATGATGTTGTTCAGGAGCATATTGTTTCCGGCGTAGATGGCGTGGTATTGAACGTGAGTGTACGCCTAGCTGGAGGCGTGTACTGACCCTTGTTGTGTGTGGTCTCCTCTATACCGGGCTGTGGTCCAGCTACCTCTACTACAACGCCGAGGTGGTCCACAACGGGGACAAGATCAAGCTCAGGGACGCCGTTGGAAACTTCCTCAAGTCTCCTCTTGCCCAGGTTAAAACTCTTTTAAAGGTCTATATAGGGGTGCTAAAACTATAATAAACACTCTAAAGCTAAGGGGAAAATCACAGTTGTGCACCTGCACGATTCTCCCCTAAAATTAATTCAATGTTACCGAAAATCATTTACTTTCTCCGAGATTAAATTCATTTGGGACAAAGTTAAGTATTGTGAAGACAGGTTATCAATGTTGATACGGGGAATGTGGGAATGGTTTTGAAAATACATATCTCTAATTCTGACTATGGGTTTTAGGAGTTTAAATATATTTTAAATATTCAAAACGAGGAATCACTTTTAAAACTGTTTTCTTACCCATACTTGTCATTGTTGATATCATTTACTTTCCTCTAAAAGTCAAGTATAGAAATGGGCAAAGCCTCTTAAAACTTTTTATAATCCTCTTTTGATTATCATATTTTCAGGAGTTTGGTCGAAGTCTAGGTGAGCACTGGAAACATATGAAGGAGCAAGGATTTTGGTCAACCTACACCCGCTTCATCGACAGCTTGGATCCATTTGGAGAGAAAAATGCGCTCAAGGTTCGGATATTATCAAATTTTGAGGCAAATCGGTCAAGGGGTTTCTGAGTTATGATTGGATTGAAAACAAACAAACAGACAGACAGATATTACTATTTATATTATTCGTTGACTCGTTGGTGCGTGTTGATTCGTTAATTTTTTGATTCGTTGATTCGTTGATTCGTTGATTCGTTGGTTCGTGTTGATTTGTTGATTGATTCCTTTATTTAGTCACTAGTTGATTGATTGATTGATTATTATTAAAAGGTTCTTGGATTACAACCAGGGGCTACTCAGGAGGAGATCAGATCAAAATACAGAGAATTATCAAAACAATGGCACCCAGATAAGGTACAATTTAATAAGTTCTTTAATCCACCCATGGAGCTGTTGTGTGTAATTTTTAGTAGTAATATATATTTCATGGATTTGGATTTGATGTGAACTTGGTGAAATTCATATTATTAGTTCTATGTTATTGAATTTGATTTTATTTGACTTTGATTCGATTAAATTTGTTTGTATTTGTTTTGATTTTGTTTTGATTTATAATTGGAATTTATTTTATTTTATCGATTCTGTATCGATTGATTTGATTACGGTTTGGGCTTCGATTTTGAATTGATCAAAGTTCAACTCACATTTTAATATCAATGGTCCAAAAGGGCATATTCCAGCTGTCGACTAAGTAAGGCACTTAGCTCGAATTAGCGATTGGTGATCTGGCAATAACTTTAGATGTCCAATGTAGTGAAAATGGAAAAAAGGCCTTAAAATAAAGATTCCTGGGATAAATTTTTCCAAGAATAAACAGAAATGTAAAAAATGAAATTGTAAAACCTCTAACTATTCAGATTTAGTATATTCACTTTAAATGGTATTGTGGAAGCAAGACGTCCTTAAAAGTCTGATTTGATTTTGATTTATTTTGTTGTTGTGTAGGTGAAGGAGAACAAGGAGGAGGCACAAGAGAGGTTTGTTGAGATCCAGCAGGCATACGAGAACCTCAGCAAGATCAAGAGCAGAAGGGCCAGGGCAAACAGGAAGGTTGTGAGAGAGGACAGCACGGTGAACCAGGAGAAGATGAGGAGGGAGGAGGAGGAGTTGGGAGAGGAATGGAACGATGCTTTCTCTGAAGAGATTGGAGGAGTTGGGAGAGGAATGGAACGATGCTTTCTCTGAAGAGATTGATCCTAAACTAGAACTTTAAATATTTAGAATAATTTAGAATCACTTTTTTGAACTAAACGTAATTCTAATTAGCCCTGTAATTTAAAAGTACCATCCAGGATAAACAATCAGCACTTATCTCGATATTTTCTATTTTAAATTTAAAACATTGCGGGATCGTTCTTAAATCTTTACAGCTGGATTTATGCAGCATTGAGTAGAGATCTATTGGCAGTGATTTGTCGGTTTCTGATTAGATCAAAAAGGTACTTGATATTGCTTTTTAATAAAATAATAATAATAATAATCAGTCAATCCTTCAATCTGAGATTTCAAGCTTGAACTCCCCTCCGTTTAAGTTTAAGATTATATTATTTTAAAAATCCTTTAAGTCTACCATGGTAAAAGTTGTTATTCACGTTGTAATTACGTCTACACTCACCGCAACTAAACCTCAACTGTAAAACAACATCACATCGAATGCACAATTTTGTTTTTCTTCTTGTACCATGAACATTGAACAATACAACCTATGCAGTATGCACTATGCAGTATGCACCCAACTTTTTTGTAAACACTTTCGTGTGTCATCTTTAATTTATGTTTTGTCATTCTTGCGAATATTTGTATGCACTAATAATATTAAAAAGAAAACTGCTTTGATAAAAATTGTACAACACAAATTGATATTACTATGTTAAAACATTCCAAGGGCCTTATGTTATGAAACTTATTTGTTGACTAAAATATGGCTCAATTTACTTTTAATTTTGTAAAATTCTCGAACACAGTATTTTGAAAGTAACCCTGAATTCTGAAAAATGGCTTCCAATTTGTGATAAATAAGATGAACAGTGTTAGGATAAAATCAAGAAATCTAAGATCATGTCATTTAAATATTATTTGTTATAATTTTCTACCAATTGTAAAATGTTATACGTTCAAACAACGCATGAGATACTTAGTAAAAATAATATCTATTTTTGATATTGACCTTAACTTTAAAAAATTGTTATTTTTTATTCAGAGTATATGTAACAATAAATACTAGATTTTCAAAGATCTGAAAATAGTACTGAATTGATTGTAAAAAACACTTTCTCAATCAGAATAAAACTAATATGCAACGCAGCCGAATAAGACAAAAATGTACTAACAGATTTTAACATTCGTGTTTGCTGATAAATGTTTATTCAATAATTTCTACTTTTTTATTTTAATTTTCAGATAAAAAAGAATATCTTTGAGTTGCCGTACATTTAAGGGATTTTGAACATAATTGAAAATTAATTGACGATTGAAATATTTTTTTTTGTGATGGAAAACAGAATAAACCGGATTTCCCTGCCTAAAATGTGTAACCTAAGCCTGTATATTTTTATTAATGCGACCAATGGTTTTCTTCAGTGAAGTCGAACAAGAAAAAGGCCAAGACTTGTTATAAGGATGGAGAAAAATCATATTTACGTCAATGTTTCTCAGATAAATCTTTAAGTTATGTTTCAATCCCTTCAATGATTAGAAAATGGGAGGATCGAGTAAGCGTAAGAACAAGAGCTATTATGCAAATGCCTCTAAGAAAGCTCGATATGCAGGGCAGGGACGTATGCTGGCTGAGAATATGAGAGGATTCCTGCTTACTTGTAATAATAGGTGAAAAATATATGAAAAAGCTAAGATAACTATTCCAGATAACTAACACTTGGCCCATTTCTAACACTGTGTGTTAGAAATGGGCACAAATTGGAAGACTGGACTTTGGGATCTCGGTCCATATCCAGAGTAAAAGTCGAAAACTACAACCAACATTTTATTAAGCATCACAAGGGCAACAATTTCGAATTCTAAACTATTGTCTTAAATCAAAATTATTAAAGGAGTTATTTTTAAATTTAAACTCTTGACCGTTTTAAAGACAGTGTCAGGTTTTCCATTTTCGTACATATTCTGGATTTGAATCATTGCATTGTCGCGTATTCGAGACAAAACTCACTTTTCTGTTTTGAGTATAATCCGCAATTGAAAACAAAACTCATTTTCACAACTTACCAAATTAATCACCTGAATGTAAAAATTATCTTATGAACCCCTAAATTAACTGCTGAATTATATTTAGAATCTTAAGTTTTCACATTTTATTTGTTAAATATGAAAATAAAGTTGAAATTTAGTTTCCTGCATTTTAAACAATCAATTTCCCGCATTTCTAGTTAAATCTACATTGCAAGAATAAAATAAAATTAATATTTTGATACTCAATCCCGTACTGTTTTAAAATTATAAAAGAACAATGTCTCATTATTTTCTATTTTGTTTATTTTTTACATTATTGGTGACGGTAAGTGCGTAAATATTTTAAAATTGACGTTTACTTGAATTGTCTCAAAACCAGAATATGTTTCGAAAACGCGACATGAGCTGAAGTGCGGTAATTTTTTCAAAAATGGGATATGTTCGAAAATGAAAACAAGAACTATCAAAAACTTTTTTTCACACCTCATTATTAATTTAATTTTTCAATAAACATTTTTAATCATTTCTTATAAATATATAGTGTAGTTTTGTTAAGCTCGGCTTCTATTTGAAGTTATATAAGCTTGAAAAAGATAACTTTACAGAAATAGCCCATTTCTAACACTCAGTGTTAGAAACCCATTTTTTCCAATGTAAAACAGTAAATGCGCGAAGTGCTAATAGTTCTACTCGTCGGTCTTCATTTTTCTTGTAAAAAAATGTGTGGGCTTTAAACCTATTTAATAAAAAAAAACTGTTTACAGGGAGAAAGAGGCTGTGAGAGAAGCTTATAATTTGTTCAATGAATACGCTGATAGTCTTTACGGTTCAGATAAAACAAATCAGGAATCCAAACTGTATTTTGCTTTTAAAATAATTTGTGAATTAAGGAAACCCCACACAATATATTTACATGAAAGGATAAGTTTGGATTGATGTGAAGGGAATGAAAGGATAAGTTTGGATTGATGTGAAGGGAATGAAGGGAGAAATGATAAATAAAGAAGAAGAAAAAGTAAAGGTGGAGGAAGAGGAGGAAGAAGTAGAAGATATTGAAGCTGCTTTTGAAAAGGTAAAAGAAAACTATAAACATTCATCAACCATATCCTGTCGTTTCTGAAATAACATTTTTATAATGCTTGAAGATTGAGGGTTTTCTGTTTTAAGAACTACAGCTAGAATAATCAAATTAAGTCATATATTTTCCTGACGCTTTTTTGACCATTAACAATAAAAATATGATTTAGATATTTAGTTTAAAAGAATTTGTGTCTGAAGCTATAAATCCATTTTTTCCAATCTTTATTTTTTCATCCTGTTCATGAAAATATCAACTAAAATTAAAGATCCATAAATTTGTATTAGAAATTTTTATATACTTTCCGTGACATTTCCCCTGTCTTACTTATTTTCTTAGGAGAAGGAAAACTTAGTGAAGAAGAGAAAAGAGGAAAAAAGATTTCAAATGGTGGAAAGTGGAGCTAACAATTGTATATTCATCAAAACTACTCTTCAGGTATTTATTCATGGTGGAGTTTTTACTAATTTCTAGAAAAGATTTCTTTCAAATTTGGAATCAGTTAAAGAAAATGACAGACGTTTTGTAATATATTTAGCAGATATCAAAGCAGTTTTTGTTTCGTTATTTATTGCTTAAATTTTAACAAGTTTTAAACAATTGAATTTGCTTATTTATCACGTGGCAAAAAGTGAAATTATAGAATGAACCTGCACAACATTTTGTTTTTATCTTATATTTCAAGTTCAGGGCACCCACAAAAAATTCTATGCTTGAGATTCGCTTATTTTCAAAATTATTTAAAATCCTCTCCAAAAAAAAATGAATACAAATACTATTTTAGAATCCAACAGAACTAGTAAACAAGTTGGTTGAAGAAATCCACGAAACTAAAGCAAACAAAGCCAGATATATTCTCAGGTACATCAGTGCTTAGAATCCTGATCCGTTGGATCTGCAACATTTTGACTTCTTCAGTTCTTGGATGCGGATTGCGGATCCACGGATCCGGCTTAAAAATATCAACCAAAAACTCTTAATGTTCTTAAACCCAAATCTGAACTTTTTTAAAAAGGTAGATTACTAAGAAATTCCTTATCTCTGAATGGTTTATCATGTTTTAGCATACAAATATGGTGAAAAAACTAAGAAAATGTATTTTAAAACTCCTCTTTTGAAAAAAATTTCAGTAAATTTTAAAGAAAAGTTTATGTTAATGTTCATCCACATTAAAATGAAACAAGTCCTATGCACTGGTACAAATAGAATTCATGTAAACCACAATAATTTTTGACAAACTATTCGAAATATCGCAGGCTATAGGCTTTATTTGTGTACTGATTACATTTTATTGTAATAAAGAACACAGTAAGACCTATCAATGCATTGCCTGAGTAGTGAGCAATGATACAAGCCCAGACTAAAAATTAAATTTTTCTACCTGCACCAATTTTGCTGATAATTAATTAACCTATTGATTGATTAATAATTAATTTATTTTTTAATGTTACTTAGTTTTATTGTTTTTAGGTTGATTCCCGTGTTGGGAACATGTAAAGCTTATGAGAAGAATATGATAGAACTTGGTCAATCTGTTCTCAAGGCGTGTACCACCATCTCCTTATTTGATTCTAGTATTAAGATTATCACTTAAATAGTTTTTTTGGGATTTTCTCAGTCTGAACTCGGTTTAGTGATTTGCCATTATAAACTTTTAAGAATTTTGATACTTTTACTCATTTATTTTCCCCTTAAAATCATTTATTTTCCCCTTAAAATCATTTATTTTCCCCTTAAAATCATTTATATTCCCCTTAAAATAAATCATTTATTTTCCCCTTAAAATCATTTATTTTCCCCTTAAATCATTTATTTTCCCCTTAAAATCATTTATATTCCCCTTAAAATCATTTATTTTCCCCTTAAAATCGTTTATTTTCCCCTTAAAATCATTTATATTCCCCTTAAAATCATTTATTTTCCCCTTAAAATCATTTATTTTCCCCTTAAAATCGTTTATTTTCCCCTTAAAATCATTTATATTCCCCTTAAAATCATTTATTTTCCCCTTAAAATCTTTTATTTCCAAAATTCAGTGAATGAAGGCAATTTAAAAAATTGGTTTGAAAGACGGAGAATGATTTTTTGAGAAAATATACCGTATACAGTACACCCCTGTATTTTCCCGAAAAGAAATGTACAACTATAAAAGTTTGTTGTTTAACAGTTTTTCTTTCATTTAATCAAAATTGGTAACATGGTTTTAATTTTTGTGTTCTTGGACGTGATACAAGAGGTTCACTGTTCAGTGTTCACTGTTAAATGTTAAATGTTCAGTGTTCTTGCTGAAAAAAAAACAATGATCAGCAAAGAATTGAAACTTTGAACTGAACTTGAAGCTGACAGCAATTTATTAAAACCCGAATTTTCGATTTCAACTTTTAATTGATGTTAAAGCTACGGAAATTTTCTCTTCTTGAATTATCAAACAAACACAGATAGGTTTTGCAGATTCAACATTTTTTTCGTGGAATTTAAAACATCAGACTTTTTAAAGGCAGTTTTTTTTAATTATGAACATCCATAAACCTTCACCAGAATGATGTGAGGTCCCACAAAAAAATTGGGCCGGATCTGTTTAGCCATTTTGACGTTACTTTTTTGGGCACAAACAAACAAGCAGACACCCAGACAAGCAAAGTATATATATTGAATATTGATGATGATTGATGGTACACCAGGAACCGTTTGCTGGTGCTACTAGTCCAACCTTTGCTATAATATTTAAGACAAGGAACAATAATCAAGTCACCAGAGATGATACAATTCAAACTTTTGCTAAAGGAAACCTAACATCAAATACATAATTATTTTTTGTAACAAATCATATATTTAGTTTCTACAATTGAAATCCTGTCAAGCTGATTAATTGTCAAAAATCTTACTTAATTTTGACTGTCTCTGTTTATATGTCATAATTAATCCTATGACTAATTTTTAACTTTCCTGTTCTGGTGTCTGATGTCTAGGTTTTCTAGTTGTCCATAATTGTTCTGGTTTATGGTTTGTCTAGTTGTCTATAATTGTCCTGATGTCTGATTTCTCTAGTTGTCTTAAATTGTCTTGATGTCTGGTTTGTCTATTGGACTATACCTCTGCCGATGTCTGGTTTGTCTAGTTGTCTATTATTGTTGTGATGTCTGGTTTGTCTAGTTTTCCATAATTGTTCTGATGTGTGATTGTCTAGTTGTCTAAAATTGTTCTGATGTCTGATTTGTCTAGTTTTCTATAATTTTTCTGATGTTTAATTTGTTTAGTTGTCTACGATTGTCCTGATGTCTGGTTTGTCTAGTTGTTTATGATTGTTCTGATGTCTGGTGTCTATAATTAATGTCTGATTTCTCTAGTTGTCTTAAATTGTCTTGATGTCTGGTTTGTCTATTGGACTATACCTCTGCCGATGTCTGGTTTGTCTAGTTGTCTATAATTATTCTGATGTCTGATTTGTCTAGTTGATCATAATTGTTCTGATGTCTGGTTTGTCTAGTTGTCTATAATTGTCCTAATGTCTGGTTTTTCTAGTTTTCTATAATTGCCCTGATGTCTGATTTGTCTAGTTGTCTATAATTGGTCTGATGTCTGGTTTGTCTAGTGGACTATACCTCTGTCGATGTCTGATTTGTCTAGTTGTCCATTATTGTTTTGATGTCTGGTTTGTCTAGTTGTCTATAATTTTTCTGATGTATGGTTTGTCTAGTTTTCCATAATTGTTCTGATGTCTGATTTAGTTGTCTAAAATTGTTCTGATGTCTGGTTTGTCTAGTTGTCTATAATTGTTCTGATGTCTGGTTTTTCTAGTTGTCTATAATTGTCCTAATGTCTGGTTTTTCTAGTTTTCTATAATTGTCCTGATGTCTGATTTGTCTAGTTGTGCGGGATTTAAATCCTGCAGCTAAGGTTGAGTTCAAGGATCCGGATATATGTATTATTATTGAAATTATCAGGGATTAATTCAACACAAATTTTAAACTTAATCAGACTTCAGCATATTTTTAAATTTAATCTTTACATAATTTACCTTTTTTATGGCTCAAGTTATCTAGGAAATTTTCTTTACGACTCCGCATTTTTCATTGCGTTTCCGATTAACAAATGTACACTTCAACCCGTTTTCTTGCCAAGAATTAAGAAAATATACCCGTTTTCTAATCAATCTGGACAAGTGATTATTTCTGATAACCGCCTTCTTTATCTCTGCCTTAAAAATGCGCAGTAGTTTGATTTGTTATGTGAATATTTAAAAAAAAATCATTTGTAAAAACTGTTGATTTATTCTGTAGGAACGTCTGCTGTGTCGGTGTTGTAAGGTAATTGATAAATATTCCTTTTTTCAAATTTATTTTTGCGATGCGTTATTATTACAGTCCTATTTTATGTAATTCGCAATAATATAAATTAATTAATAACTTCAAAATCGTCTTTGACCCTGGAAATAGCTTTCGACATTCATAAGAGGAAATCTATTCCGTTGGAAATAAAATCTTTAGGCACCCTAACAAGTTTTAAAACAAGTCTTAAAAAAGTTTTCTTGAAGAGTATAGTAATTTTCGTTGTATAAATCGAATTATTTTTGCGATTTTGCGATTCGTTATTATTACAGTCCTATTCTATGTAATTCGCAATAATATAAATTAATTAATAACTTTAAAGTCGTCTTTGACCCTGGAAATAGCTTTCGACATTCATAAGAGGAAATCTATTCCATTGGAAATAAAATCTTTAGGCACCCTAACAAGTTTTAAAACAAGTCTTAAAAAAGTTTTCTTGAAGAGTATAGTAATTTTCGTTGTATAAATCGAAATTACTTTTCTTGCTAAATCTTGATTCTATCCCCCTTTCCCTGTTATTATAACAAAACAAAATAAAACATAAACATTATAAACTTTGTGTGCTCTTTCTTCTTCTTTTCCTCTCTATTCTTTAATACCTTTCCTCTATCTACTACTTTTCCTCTTCCTTTTTTTCCTTTAGTTATAAATTGTTTTAGTTTTATTTGGTTTTATTTAAATTTAACATGTATGTATCGCTGCAGAAGGGCCTCTCATTCAAAACAACCAACAATGGTTAGAGGGGCCCTGGCTAAATTAAAATGTAAAAATTGTGCAATTGAAATTGTTTTTACTTAAATATTTAGTCAAATATCTTTCTATCTATCCATCAATATTTTTTTATGTAACAATAATCACAAAATAGCCCTGATCATGCAATTTTCAAATGTGGTCTGCCATTTGTTGTCCTCGAAATATACAAGATAAATAGAGAATTTTGTTTAGATTTCAATTTGATAAATAAAACAAAGAAAATGTCTCATTCTGAACGAAATCATTCACATCTCCGGAATTTATTTAAGCACAAAAATGTCAGACCACGTTTTTGAAATGGCAGAACAAGAGGATATGTGATTATTTTTTCATAATAAAATATGTTGAATGCCGCAAATTATTTCTAAGGTCAAAGACGACCTTGAATTAAATTATTCCGTTTTTTAGAATAGGATTATGAAACGGGCAGCGGCCAGTCTGTGTTACTCTCGAATGCCAGTGAGTCAATCCTAGCCGCGGCGCTCGGCCCCCAAGCCTATCCTAACCGCAGTGTCTTAACCTAACCTAACCCTTAAATATATACTAATCTCTCTTTTTTATAATTCATTGAGACATTCGCGAGTAACAAAGTTTGGCCGCCACCTGCAGTGAAACGCTTCTAAAAAAGTTATCCTTTGAATATTTTTTTTATATTTTAGGAACTTCTACAAGTACAAGAAGTACAACCTGGTGGAGATTGCTAAAGATGGGGTGAAAGAAGAAACTAAGGAGGATAATCCGATTGGGGAGGCAAGCACGGAAAATGCCGAGAATAATTCTCTAGAGAAAAGTGCGCAAAACGGAAATGAAACTGGGAAAGAAGAAGAAGAAATAATAGCGAAGGAAGAAGTAAAATCAGAAGTTGTTGAAAAAGAAAACACATTTCCTGCTGATACTCTTACAGAAGATGGCTGATTAAAATCCTGTTTTTATTTTAAAATTTTGTCAGATTAAAGATGGAGGAGATGACGGATAGTATAGCGGAGAACCAGGCTCAGCTCAGGTAAACACAAATTAGACTCAGATGAAAAATAGTTTAATTATTAAGTTAAGCACAAAAGTACTGTAAAAATTATTAAAACATTACGTTTAGTTCCAGCAAACGAAATTTTGTTTACTGCATTAATTTAAAAGTTGAACCAGTCAAAACTAGTTTAACTACCCCTCACTCTCAAATTAAATACATTACAATTGAAATTGGTTTTAGGAAAAATGTTTGAAATTAGACTTCCAACTAGCAAACAGGTCTAAGGAACTTTTTGAAAGGGTTATACATCATTAATATTTTGATGATTAAATTCATACTTTTTGAATTTCTTCAGTATGATAGAGATGGCTCTAAAAGGTGATCCTGGGAACCCTGAACTAATCCAACTCAAATCAGATCTAGAGGCCTTAATACAGCTTACCAAGGATAGTTTACAGGAGGATAGTCAACAGGTTTAAACAATATACATAAACTAGGGATATGTAGGTGGATATTTAAAAAATTATGAATTGATGTTTTTTCGGCCATCTTGTTTCTTAAATGTAACACATGCGTGGGACATCAAGAAATTTATTTATGTACCAAAGGTTGGGAAGAAAGAAGATTCTATTTATGACGTTGACGACGACGATGACGATGATGATGATGTTCAAGTTCTTCAGGTGCAAGCTTTACAAATCCTTGTATGTTAAATTCGTGGTTTTGGTTTGGATGGATAGATTTCTCTTCAATTTGTGTACTTTTGTTCAGGGGTGTACAATTTTAAGAATTAATGAATTTGGAGAAAAAAATTTAAATTTCTACATCTAAAGTTTTGTTAAAAATCATTTATTATCCCCAAATAGCGAAGAAACCCCTAAATAAATACATTCTTAACTTTTTTAAGGGAAAACTACTTTCAAAGAGAGGGGGCGGGTGAAACCTCCCTGCTTTTGTTAATAATATATTAGCTTGGCAAATCTTGTCTAGACTGGAAGTAGTAAAAGTCTTGAAGACGATTTGTCCAGCCTTGAAGGCGTCAAGGTCTCCGCCCCCTTCTCCACTTCCTATAGCGGGGTGAGCTACCACAACGCAGTCATCTTCACAGTGGAGTCACAGGACTTTCAGACCTTTCAGGAAAAGAATTGTGCATTGTTAAAATGAAAAATACCTAATTGTCTTAATTTATAAAAATGACAGTGCAAATAAAAGGATGTGACACGAAACTTTACAGTAAAAAGACGACTTAAAAGTCTTCTTTGATCGGTGAAGTTACGTGAGGCTCTGCTTTCAAGAATACCAGAGAAAAGTTTGTTTAAATTTTAACCATATAACATAAAAATTGTCGAAATCTGATTGAGTTTATATCTCCGGTAATTTTGACAACATAAAAAAGACAAACCACATTTTGGCAATTTTCGCACTAGGGGTATTTTGTGAACTTAAATTCAAAAAATTTTCTTCTAAATTAGGTTTACAAATTTATGCCGCAAATTATTTTTTAGGTATAAGACGACCTTCAAGTTGTCTCTCAACTGTCATGTTTTAATTTTCAACTAGTGATGGAGCATTTTTTATTTCGTGAATTATTGAGATCATTTTCATTAAAAATTCCAATTACTGACCAGGATTTTTAGATATTCTTTTTCTTTTTCTAAAANCAGTGTAAGAATAAGCATTCTTAAACGCAAGGAAGCGAACAATATTAAAATTGTTCCTCCTGAACCGTGTAATAATGGGAATTCTTACACGATAGGTTTACTACTATGGAACCGAACAGATATGATATAATATAAAATATTGTACTTTCTAATATTTATGCGGTATGCAATTCATGTATGTACCCATAAATGATATATATTTAAGGGATGGTTCCGTGTAAACACTTCCTCGAGGATCGATGTAATCGTGAGGACAGAGACTGTAGATGGAGTCACGGGGAGAAGGTTAACCTCGCTAGTCTCAGAGAGTGGGTGGAGCCAGACTTCTCCGATCTAGGCCCAGGAGGCGTGGTTCTTGTGCCTCAGGACGACGGAGTTTGGAAGCGTGCTACCATCCAGGGTAGGGAGGAGCAGTCCTTAATCTTGAAGTTCGAAGGATCCAAATCTGATCCTTTCTCCCAGAACCTGGAGACAGTGTTTCCATTAAACTCCGAGGACGGGGTTAACTTTGGAGAAGAGGATGAAGATGATAAGAGTACAAATGCTCTAGTTCATGATACTATTGATAGTATCGAGAATGAAACCTTTGCTCCTGTAGTATTAAGTATAGAGGGTAGGCTGGGGGACTGGGAGAACTACACCAGGGGTGTTGGGAGCGCCCTCATGTCGAAGATGGGTTGGACAGGGGGCGGGCTAGGGAAGGAGGGGGAGGGACGGGTTGAACCTGTTCCAGCAAGATTATATCCCCAGGGTAAATCCTTGGATTGGTGCATGGAACGAAGGTAATTCAAATATATTATCAAGTTTAAAGTAAAATGAGATTTAGGGTCTAACTCTTATTAAAAAAGCTGTAAGTGTAATTTCAAGTGAAACTACATGTAAAGAGGGCAAAGTCCGATTCACAATGGTACCCAGAAAAGCTTTATCTGATCAGTTATGTTTAGATATCAAGAATTATCAGAATTAGAGATTTTTTAAAACAATATCTTCCAGATTAATAATTAGATAAAGATCTCAAGGGTACCATTGTGAATCAGATAAAGATCTCAAGGGTACACGTATTTCATACTTGACTGGAAGGATAAAAACTGCAATCCAGTGGTTTACTCAGTCCACTGATATATAATATACATCAACCAATCCAACATACGTACAAATAATTTTAAAAAACTGCTTAATATATATATATAAAAACATTTTTTTAAGTCTAGCTTTAAGAGAAATTATGGTCTCAGCTTTTGTATTCCATATTTTCCCACCAAAATCTTTTATTTTCCTCACAAGTTAGAATTTGGAAACCTTTGGATATTCTGAAAAATTTATTAAACTTATTTTTATTCTGGACACCCTGTATATTATAGATGTTGATAATATCGACACCATGTACGTACAACTTGTATACATGTTTTTAACCATGCATTGGTTGAAACCACAATGAAGGATATTACTTTCTCATTAATCAATTTATCTCAAAGCTTGGCGAGTAATTTCAAGTAATGAGATTGATTTGAATTCTTCTTTTGTGAAAACTTCGTCCTCCGCACCGGTTTAAACGCGTGACGCTTTATCTCGGTATCTCGAACCCTGCACGTAACACTAACTACAATGAAGTGAATCCGGATATGTATAATTTTTAGCCTTTTTTGATCTCTCTCCTTAAATCCGTCAAAAATAGCAAACTATCTTATAAACTCAAATATTTGAAATAAAAGAAATAAATAAATCCAAAAATAGGATGTGTAAAAATATGTTCTAAACTTAAGACTCGCTGTACTTTTAACCGGGACCTATAGTTGACCGTGCCTGCAGCAACTTTTAGATTTGAGGAATAAATGCTTGATCTCTCAATTTTAATTTTCCCGGCTGTGCATCCGAGAGAAATTTTTTAATCCTTTGAATGACGAAAGATAACTTCTTAATCCTGGTTTTTTTCAATTCAGAAGTGTTGAACTCTAATAACATTCTCCTGCTCAGGGAGGAGGCAGGAGGCGGAGATATCCTTAATGTTGAGAAAATCTTGAAAAAAGAGGCAAAGGATGCCCAGCGAACATCTGCACAGCGGGCTAGGAGGGAGAGGGAGAGAGACAATAGTGCAAAATCTCTTTTTGATTTTATTAATGTTAAGCTAGGTGAGCCATTTATTGATTTTTCTTCTGTTTATTTTTCAGATTTTGATATTATTATAAAGATTTATTCACACGCAAAGATATAAATACATATATAAATGGTTAATTTAAATTTGTTTAAATGATTTGAATATATAGTTTTACAAAAGAAAAACAAATATGCAAAATAATGCACAAATAGACGACATTGATCATTACTCATAACATAACATATTTATCATTTCAGTTATTACGTAATCATCGAATTCTTAAACATATAAATTTTTCGCTCTTTTTATTTAAAAGATCTTGTAAAACCGGAACTTTCCATGCATGGTCCAATGGGACATCAAAATATTTCATTTGTTTCTTAACTAACATTTTACTAAGATCAGAAAGATTTATTACAGAACAATCATTTGCAATGGAAAATAAATTTCTGCCAAGAACTGTGTTAAGGTCATTTTTGCATAGATTAGAAAGAAATCTAATGCAAAGCTTAGAACTTATTTTTTGCGTCCATTGATATGTTTTTTTGTGAATCCGATTGTATCAACGAGTTTTGCAAAACAAAATTGCTGCCAAATGAAGAGATATGATGCATCACTTTTTATATAAATTATTTGATAGTGACAAACTTTTTTTATATATCAGGGATTTGTGTTCATAACGCTGAGGATGTCAAAAATATTTATCATGTTTCATTTACTACCCCCCCTCCCCCTCTTGTGGATTACAGTTATATTTTTAATGCTTGTTACTTAACTGTTTCACGCTTCATGCTTAAAAATGTTTTATTAATAACAATCTGGTCGCGTTAAATGTACAGGGTTGAGACGCAACTTGATCGTCCTTAAATTAACGATTTGTTCTAAGAGAACAAATATATAAAAGGTTAAACATGCCAGGACTATGGGAACTATTTTATGATAATTGTTTGAAAAATTAGGTTCAAGAATGTATGTCGCAACATATATCAAGACATCATTTCATTTCTTAATTGTAAAAATTTATGTTGAGTGGGTCACATATACATTATACATACATTTAAACTGTAAATCTGCTTGGTTGCAAAATAAAGGTTTGCCAATTACTCAATGACAAGGCGGGGTTCAAGTGAGTTCACTGAATGCTATTTTAAAAAATCCATTAGGCACAAAAAAAACATGTTTTATACTCTTTAAAAATAAGGCCAAATTAATTGTCCAAATATTAATATTTTGGCGGGCCTTGGCGTCCAGTCGCTAATAAACTAATCCATTAATCCATTTAATCCATTTCATGCTAAAATATACAAATGCTTTTGTAATTTCAGCATATGAATTCTTTTATTAAATAGCCTTTAGCAAAATTGGGTAAACTTTGAAATGAAATTATCTCAAATTTTGCTAAAAATTAAAATTTAGTGCGATCTATATAATATGATGTGGGACATCCTGTATATTAAAATAATTTCAAATTTCAAGTAATGCGATCTATAAAATAAGATGTTGGACATCCTGTATATTAAAATAATTTCAAATTTCTAGTAATGCGATCTATAAAATAAGATGTGGGACATCCTGTATATTAAAATAATTTCAAATTTCAAGTAATGCGATCTATAAAATAAGATGTGGGACATCCTGTATATTAAAATAATTTCAAATTTCAAGTAATGCGATCTATATAATATGATGTGGGACATCCTGTATATTAAAATAATTTCAAATTTCAAGTAAATCACTTCAAAATTATTTTAACTCCTTTTACCGTTTTTTTCTTCATTACATTTTAGATTCCTTCTTCCTTCTCTGCATCGTAGAAATGGATGGAGATATTAAATATTTAAACTAAATTTTTCAGTCAAAGCTGGGTTCTCAGGTTGATATGAATATAGTGTTTTCAGGGATATCTTTGAGATATACAGGGTGTCCCACATCATATTAGACCGAGAACGGGTCTAAATTACGATTTTCGGGACTAATTAGAAAATTTCATTAAAATGAATCATTTTGAAAAATAACATAAGGCTTATCTAAGAATTTTCTTGCGGAAAATGATAAGTTTTTCGAGTATTAAGAGTTTATTTTGGTGTTAAAGATTGGAGATAATCTAATATGATATGGGACGCTCTGAAGTTAAACAAATTATTTATCAGGAGGAAGGAAAGGAAATATCTCCGATCTGGTTGGAACTGGATCTAAAAGTACCAAAGATGGAGTAGAGAAGAAAAAGAAAACGTTACAAACTGCGTCCAACGAGAACCTCAAGATTGAAAACTTTAAACTCGGAGAAAAGATTAGAATTGCAGAAAAGGAAATTTTTAGGTATTTTAAACATTTTTTACTTTTTTATCTCAAATTTAGACGGATGTGAATCTTAAAATGATATCTAGATTACTTATCCGCAGTTTTTCTTTAGTTATTTTCCAATTTTTATTTTGCTTCTTTTCAGTTTCTTGAAAAAAAAATTTTTCGTCAGTATCTTAGGAGTTTTAACTTACTGAACATAGGGGGCGATAAATGATGTTTTTGTTATAAAGAATCTAAAACGGGACAATAATTACCAGTTGATGCACAATTTTCTTTTCTTTAAATTTTCAAAAATCATTTCTCTTTAAAATATACTGGAACTGACATCTTATCGTTAACGATGTCATTTCTAGATTTAGTTTATATAGATAGAGTCAAATTTTTTATTTTAGATTAAAGGAATCTTGGAAACGGCATAAAGAGAAAGATACAAGAACTGCCGAAACTTTTAAAACAAGAATAGACGAAAAAGAATTAGAACTCGCCAGGTATGTTTTACTTTACACAGCACATGTTTAAAGGGATTGTACATCTATTCAACACAGCACATGTTTAAAGGGATTGTACATCTATTTTACACAGCACATGTTTAAAGGGATTGTACATCTATTTTACACAGCACAAGTATAAAGGGATTGTACATCTATTTTACACAGCACATGTTTAAAGGGATTGTTCACCTATTTTACACAGCACAAGTTTAATGGGATTGTACATCTATTTTACACAGCACATGGTTTAAGGGATTGTTCACCTATTTTACACAGCACATGTTTAAAGGAACTGTTCACCTTTTTTACACAGTACATGTTTAAAGGGATTGTACATCAATTTTAAAGAGATGATTGAGATCATCCGTTCCGATAAAACAAAGCTTTTGAAGGTTCCGTATAAATCGGACATGGCCCGGTACAAGATGAGAGTCTCTTGTTATTATGTCTACCACCCTTTCTCGCACGCTCTTTATTCCAAATATCTCTGCACACTCAAACAACAAGAAAAACTTTAATCTCATAGTTTAATGTTTAGATTGCGGAGTTCTGAAAGAAAATTAGTTACTGAACAGGGAAATAGGAAGAGTACGTCAAAACTATCCATCTTTTAGAGAAAAATGTGTTAGAATTAAACGCTTTTGTGTAAGTGCACAATTGCTCTGGATTCATAAATGTATGTATTTATGTTAATGATTGTCAAGTAAATTGAATATGTATATAAATGTAAGTGAAATTACACCAACCTCAATTTATAAAAAATGTAAGTATAACTAAATTAAACGTATTTTAATGTTTTTAAGCAAAATCTTGGATTTCTTCCCAACTCAGGTTCCTCTTTTTTATCAGTTAAATGTCACGAATTCAAGCCTGATCCCATACAGATTAGAAGTTAACTGCTATTATAAATATTATTATTTGTTTTATAGCATGCTAAGGGATAAATTAAAAAAATATTTAAAATGCGGGGAAAACAGATGAGATTTTAACTGATGAAACACGTTAAATAGAATTTAAAACCACTGTCTTAAATATTTATTTTTGAAATCCCCAAGCAGTGGTACTGCCAGGACCATTAGGTTATCTGAGCCGGAAATTTAAGAGAATACCTTTGAATTAAACTCACCAAGATTCTTTTATTTTAAAGGGAGTGACCGGCTATATAAGGTAGTTGAACTGAGTATGCAGTGTTGTGGAAAACTTCTTTCGGATTCATTTGAGACATATTAAACTTTTTTAAGATCTGTAAATCCTAAGTTTGAGCGCAAATTCGACGTCCAAAACTCATACTGGGTGGATACGTTTTCAGAATTAGTTTTTTAAATAATTAAATGACGACGACATAAAATGTAAAAAAGTGCTACGATAAACTACAGACGTCATGTATAGGAACAAGTTGAGAAAATATAAATTAATCTTACCATCGAAAATAAGTAATCTTGTTCAATCTTTAGTTTCTATTTTCTCATTATTCGCAAATATTTTCTGCAGATATTCTAGAATTATTATTGAAAAGACGACATTTGAAGAATTTGAAGAAATCTGCAAATAAATTCAAAGAAAATATTAAATTCAATATAATAATTAAGAGAATTTAAAATAACGTACATGAAATATTACTTCTTAGCAAAATATTTGTATTTATGAAACAGGGTTTCCAAAACTGAGTTTCATTACGATACTCTATCTAAAGTTTCGGTGTCTGTTACAGAAGGGGTATACCACTTACTCCCATGAGCTNCAGGCTCCCCCTAACATGCTACTGTTCTGTTCACATGAATTATTTTCCTGAACCACCACTCTAAGCTGAAGTCCCAGGCTCCCCCTACCCCTAACATGTTACTATACAAGTAGAGATGGGCATCTACTATTTAAGTAGAGATGGGCATCTACTTTACAAGTAGAGATGGGCATCTAATTTACAAGTAGAGATGGGCATCTACTCAATTGTGTCCCTGTGTGGCACTTAGATCCGAAGTAATAGCTTGTGTCCCTGTGTGGCATTAGAGCCTAAGAAATAGCTAGATAGATCAACTCTGCTTGTGTCCCTGTGTGGCATTTAGAGCCTGATTAATAGCTATACAAGTAGAGATGGGCATCTACTATGCAAGTAGAGATGGTCTTTCTAAAAATGTAAATAAATATCACCTCTTAAAAGCCATATGAAGTTGAGTTCACAAACTAACCATATGACCTCAAAATACATTTAATTTGCAATTAGCAACATTAGGAAACCCCTTAGTCTGGTATTCGGATGTCTGTAAGACTCTATATAATATTCCTTTTCTTTATTTCACGAATTTAAATGTCAACCTAAAAATTCCAATATTTTCAGAACATTTCATTTAATTGAAATGTTTAGGATTGGTCTCAGCTGAGAGGTAGATGCTTCAAGTCCTGTTGGTCCTGTTTCTAGAGTACTGTTGGTCCTCTACATAGCATCATAATTGTATTGTATTGTATTGTATTTGTAATGTTTACCAAATTCTGTTTTCTAACCTAACCGACCATAGTTGATATACTATTTGTGTTTCAGATGCAAGATGGATGCGTTTCTAAATTTTCAAAAACTTCTTAATCATATTAATATTGATGTGAGTCTTGATTAAAATCTTATATTTTCTAATTCTGTTTCTGAAATTGATGAAATATTTTTATTTCTTTATTTATAGTGTCCTAAAGTTGAGAGACATGAAGAATTGGCGGGGACAACAAAATTCTGCATCATCCATATGCATGGAACTCTCAGCTTTGTTCAACAACAACTGATTACAACCGGAACTGTTGATCTAATCAACTCCCCATTCAAGAATTTGGAGGAAACTGTCAACAAACTCTTCAAGTTGTTAGTTCATCATAGAAAATTATACCCAAAGTGTAATATTGGTCAAGAGGAATGGAATAATCTTGTTGATGATGCGTTGGCGCAGTTCAACTTAATCCCTGATGTCATTCAAAATCCTTTGCACCAACCTGTTAATTCAAGATTAACTCCAGCAAGGACTCCAACTAGACTCAAATTAACTCAAAGAAAACTACTCTTTGTAAGTATAACAGAGTATTTAACTAAAAAGATTGAATGGTTAATTTGCTGGATGATTATACTGTTTGTTTGGTTACTTTAGGTTAAATTGGATTATTCTAGGTTTGATTATGTGATTGTTAACTTTATTTTTAAATATAACATAATATCATCTTAGAATCTTACATAAGTGTTTGTAAGATTCTAAGATAAGATGATTCTAAGATGGTGTTAAAGTTTGATTTGGTTATAGCTCAGTACTATATATAGCAACATTAAATTAGATTAAATTTGATTATTATAGATTTGGTTAGGTTAATATTGCTTTTTTAAATTTGTTTTTTTATCAGTATATCCCAGAAGAGACGGTAGAGACGGTTGATCCTAGTCCTGAGGAGTCCTTGGACTCCTCTATATCAGAAGATGAAGAATGTTCCAGAATAAGAGCCTTAACAATTTTCAGACAGAAACTCATTGCAACAGGCAGCGAATTAGACAGAGCTTCTGGACGTAGGAAAGCTGTTGGTGACCATCTTATGAAGAGTGGCAAGACATTGGCTCATACAAAGTGTTTGCTCTGTGAGACTAAGTTTACAGTGAAAAAGAGCCTTTACAGGCATTACCGTAAACTAAAGCCATGCCGAGAGAGACAGAATGAAAAGCCTAAGAAAAAATCAAGAACATCACCACTAAGGAGAATACGGGTAACTTAAAATTTATATCAATGCTTTGATTGATGATCTGAAATGTTAAAAGATTGATTCATGAACTATTTGATTGTTTGATTGGTTGTATACTTGTTCAATGGATTGACTGGTAAGATTATTTATCATTAGAAGATTCGAAAAATCAATTGGAAAGGGATCTCATGGAAGCTGGACCTTCCAATGCTCCAGTGTCACATAGAGGTAACTTGAACTTAAAATTAATTCTTTGATTGATGATCTGAAATATTAATAGATTGATTCATAGATCTGTTTGATTGTTTGATTTGTTGCATATGTAGTGTTCGGACCAAATATACACTACTGTAAGATTCCTCTATTCTCAATAGAATATAAACAAGGAATGGGTTAATTCTATGTTTTTAGAATTTAAAGCAAAAGTAATGTACCTGCACTTAAGGAATCTATCTATATATCTAGTATATACTTAAAATAATAAAGAATTTAAAAATAAATATCAGAGTAAACCAACAAGCACAATAAACACCAAAACTGCCAACCTTAAGAAAGATTACACCTGGCTGAGAATAGATTTAAATGATAATAATCTTATTTTACTACACATACTAGATCAATGGATTGACTGAATTTATCATTAGGAGAACCCGAAAAACAAATTCCACGCACCATCCCTTCTCATATAAAATATTCTGTGAAATCTTCTTCTATTCTACATTCTCTGAAAACCAAGTATAAAGAACATACGTCTCAAGAAGAACCTAGAGGTAACTTGAAATTAAATTAATTCTCAGTACTATATATAGAAACATTAAATTAGATTAAATTGATTATTATTGATTGCATACTTGATCACTGCATTGACTGAAAAGATAATTTATCATTAGGAGAACCTGAAAAACAGCCGATATATTCTATCACCTCTAGTTTTGAAGTACCCAACTTCATCAAAGAACAGATTCCGAACTGGAATTTTGGGGAAGACCTTCCAGAAGTTGTGAGAAACATTATATTCTCTAAGGATACAGAAAAGTTGTACAATATACGTAACGAACTATTGGAAACCTTAGAGCCTGTAGATATCAGCATTCCAATTGGTGAGATTTCTCAGGAATTCCTTGTTAGATTGAATGAAGCTGTTGGTATTGCAATCACTGCTGACTCAACAGATCCTAAAATGAAGCTCTCTCTTCAGGAATTCATGTCAGTGAATTATTCATCTCCGTCTGTCCCTAGTGGAAGAATGGCTCTCCGAGATGATTACATGTTCATATGGTTTCTTAAACAAAGAATCCAGGGGAAGGGAAAACGCAAATCCCCAAAAACAGTCAGTCAGTATGCCACATATCTGTTCGGGAATAGCCAAGAGAATTTATATAAACATTTGGAAGCCAAGAATATCCGCTTAGAAGATTCTCTTTTCCCTACGAGATTACGCGTCACGATGGAAATTGAAGCTTGGGGAACTACAGAAAACCCTAGCTCTGCAAGTAAGTTCTTTTTTTCCCTAAATTTAATAACAAACAGCTTGGCAACAATCAAAACACAACAATTTTATTCCTAACTCCGAAATAACTTATTGAATTTTTTGTTTAGTCGCAAGGAATGCTGCTCTGGTTTTCTGGTACGATTATCTATGGCAAAAGTCATCTGAATATAATATTGAAACGACAGACTTCATTCTCTCAACAGCACGACAGGAGTTCCAGCGATATTCCCTGATATGCCGGAACAATAGTTCAAACGTTTTCCTAGATTTGAAGGATGCGGCCAAGAAATCCACAAGAGTTGGACAGGAACTCAGTGAACAGATTAATCCTAAAAGGTATGAGGAGTTAGAGAATGAGATCAAAGCTTTCTTTGAAAGTCCAAAATTCCTCTCCATTATGGATGAAATCGATGATAAGAAATTGCAACTCACTCCTGATTGGCATAACCGTCTTTTAATTCAACTAGCATTTCTAACTGTACTTCAGAATGGCCATTGTGCTGAGTTGGCAAATATCCTAAAGCAACAGGATTTGTACACTCAGGCCCCACACAGCGAACTTCCAGGAATGTGGACGTTTCAGCTGAACAAGTAAGTAAAAATGATATTTTTCTAACCTAAAAATAAAAACGTTGATGAGAAACATAATCATTTGATACTTATAATTGAATATCATTTAGATTCTCCGCAGTTGAAGAAGGAAAGACGAAATCAGTCCTTTATCTCATGCTTACGAGCAAGTTTACGATTGCTCTCAACAAATGGAGCAGGTTGAATATCTGAACTCCAATACCAACCTAGAGATAGATAAGAGTTTGCTACTATTCCTTCGGGAAAATGGAAACCTAATCTCCATGAATAATATCTACAATCTTCAACCATTCAAGGTAACACTAGTTTAGGATATTAAACTGATTTTATAATATTATTAATTCAATCAATAATGTTTATTTCTTTAGGACCGGGGATTTAGCAAAGATCTTAGATTAAAAGATTCCCACAAGATTCAAAGCACGGCACTGGACAAAGCACTACCACCTAACGAAAAGGATCTACACAAGGTTGTACATGCCCACTCTGCAGATACCGTAACTCAGAACTACATCTTAAATCAAACAGCTAAAGGACCTCACTAGTCTCCTGGAGTTGGGAGTGTTGTAGAGATATTTTTCCTCTTAACGCCCCTGAAGAAGTATTTATGATTTATCAATTCAAATAACTATAAAATATTTTTAGAATTTTACTTGCCTTTCTTTATTTAATTTTGCATTATTGGCACTGATTCCTCTTCATTTTTCAGGAGTCTGATGTGGATCAAAGGAGCCACCTCACTGTTGGCTTTTTAGCCCCTGAACCATACAGGGCTCCTCCTGCAAGCTGAATCTGTCCTTGTTAGGCTATTTTGTCATGGTCTAATATTCTGTCAGACCTAAAATCTTGAAAACAATAATAATACATCGGCAAAAAAATATTTATATATATAAATACCTGTTTTGGGCCAAATACCCCCCTTTCTACGCCCCTGATGAAGAAAAAAAAAATTGAAATTTTGTTTTGCCCCTTATGGATTAAAAGAATATAGGTGCAAAGTTAGCACGATTTATCTCTATTATTACAAGAGTTATTACAAACTCCAGGAGACTAGTGAGGTCCTTTGAGAAAGGTACCACATATTTGCATGGTAGCTCAGCATCAAATAATCCAGTAATGTTTGACTCAAAACAAGCTGAAGTAGAATTTGAAGAGAACCAGCGTCTACTAAGAAAACACATGCAAGAAGTGCAGGAGAACCGATCTGAACTGACAATGTCAAACAGAGAGAGAAACCTTCGTCAAAGCATATGCAGTACACTCCGAAATACCATCTTATATGGAATACTTGAAATGAAAGATCCTGTTTTCACTAAGCGTATGCTTAGCAAATGCCCTAAGAACATATATGGAAAGCGCAGACAGATGAGAAACTGGGACCAATTTATCCTAAGATTTCTGGAATCACAACCATCCCTTACTGACCAGGCATTAAAAGAAATCAAGTATCACCATACTATCAACGGTTTTTGTTAGAAAATCTTTATCTCACTTAAACATGGAACAACAGCAGAGTTTGCAAAACTCCTGAAGGTCCGTGTACTTTCCTAGCTCTATCTATTGAAGCCAAGAGTTCACAACAAACTACAATGAAGAGAAGTGTAGAAGATGATACGGAAGATGAAGATACAACAGAATCTGATACTTCTGATGAGGAAGGAGCGGACTAACCCAGGAAATATTAATTACCAGGTACAATAAATGATATATACTAATTAATTATCTAAATTATGCCTAAGGAAATTAGAAAAAAATAGAACCAAATATTGAGACTTACTGTACTTGTGTAAATTAGAGTCTTGCAGACATCCGAATCCCGGACTAAGGCATCCTTATGTTTTTAACGCCTTTTCACACTGATAGCCAACATCTGTACCTACCTGTGAGTTTTGAAATTTCTTGAAAATCATTATTCGTTCCAGAGATATAGGCGTTTAAAGATATAGTAGTCTGAGAGACTTCAACGCGGGATTGAAATGTTCATATGAATTTTTTTGCTGAACCACTATTCTAAGCTGAAGTTCCAGGCTCCCCTCCCCCCCTAACATGCTACTGTTCTGTTCACATGAATGTAGTAGAAAGCTCATTATTTGCTTTAAATTAATTATTTATTTCAGGATTTATTGACTGAGGGTAAATGGAAATAAAGTTTTCGAATATTCTAAAATTCTGACCAAATGAGCAAATTTATAGAAAAAATACATTGGACTTATTAATTGTCTAATTTAACCGTATTTTAACGTATTATTTTCAGCCATTTCAGACACTTTCCTGGCCTTTTTCATGTGTCATTTCTTCCACTACATCTAGTTTATAGAATAAATATGAAAAAATGTTCATTCTTATGAAGTTTTTCCCCTGTTTGATAAGTTAAGTTTTTAAATAGGATTTTCAGCCGAATTTTGATAATAGAGCTCAAATTGTTCAGAACTCAGTGCAAATTTTGAAATTTTGTCTAATAATTTCCACTTCATTATCAAATTGAGAGGTCAGAGTAACTATTGCGAAAATTGAAATAAGCAATCATTGCACAAACATACACTAGATTTGTTAAAAATATTAGTTTTTGCAAAATTGATTTATTATTAATCATTTGTTTCTTAACTAACATTTTACTAAGATCAGAAAGATTTATTACAGAACAATCATTTGCAATGGAAAATAAATTTCTGCCAAGAACTGTGTGAAGGTCATTTTTGCATAGATTAGAAAGATATCTAATGCAAAACTTAGAACTTATTTTTTGCGTCCATTGATATGTTTTTTTGTATCCGATTGTATCAACGAGTTTTGCAAAACAAAATGGCTGCCAAATGAAGATATATGATGCATCACTTTTTATATAAATTATTTGATAGTGACAAACATTTTTTATATATCAGGGATTTGTGTTCATAACGCTGAAGATGTCAAAAATATTTATTATGTTTCATTTACTACCCCCCCCCCTCTTGTGGATTACAGTTATATTTTTAATGCTTGTTACTTAACTGTTTCACGCTTCATGCTTAAAAATGTTTTATTAATAACAATCTGAGTCTAAAACTAAAGAACGAAAAGTTTTGACTTAAAGTTTAAGTTCATGGTTAAATGCCACTTCTGACTTAATTTAAACCCGAACTTTAACCGTGAGGTTAAATATTTAACCCTGTGGTTAAATATTTAACTCGCCGAAATCGACGAGTTAAAATTAAACACATGGNAAATTTTTTGTGAAAATCCGCGAATTATTTTTGTTTTGTTTTACGATGTACACAAAGAGAACATGTTCACAACTAATTTAGAAGATGGGCGCGAAGCGCCCTCTAAGGCTAGAAAGAAGGGCGCGAAGCGCCTTGAATTTCTAGTTATCTCAAATTTTTCTAAAAATTAAAATTTAGTGCGATCTATATAATATGATGTGGGACATCCTGTATATTAAAATAATTTCAAATTTCAAGTAAATTACTTCAAAATTATTTTAACTCCTTTTAACGTTTTTTTTTCTTCATTACATTTTAGATTCCTTCTTCCTTCTTTGCATCGTAGAAATGGATGGAGATATTAAATATTTAAACTAAATTTTTCAGTCAAAGCTGGGTTCCCAGGTTGATATGAATTTAGTGTTTTCAGGGATATCTTTGAGATATAGGTAAACAAATTATTTATCAGGAGGAAGGAAAGGAAATATCTCCGATCTGGTTGGAACTAGTTCTAAAAGTACCAAAGATGGAGTAGAGAAGAAAAAGAAAACGTTACAAACTGCGTCCAACGAGAACCTCAAGATTGAAAACTTTAAACTCGGAGAGAAGATTAGAATTGCAGAAAAGGAAATTTTTAGGTATTTTAAATATTTTTTACTTTTTTATCTCAAATTTAGACGGATGTGAATCTTAAAATGATATCTAGATTACTTATCCGCAGTTTTTCTTTAGTTATTTTCCAATTTTTATTTTGCTTCTTTTCAGTTTCTTGAAAAAATATTTTTTCGTCAGTATCTTAGGAGTTTTAACTTACTGAATAAAGGGGGCGATAAATGATGTTTTTGCTAAAAAGAATCTAAAATGGGGCCAAAATTACCAGTTGATGTACCATTTTCTTTTCGTTAATTTTTTTAAAATCTTTTCCCTTCTAAATTTATTCTCCTGGAACTGACATCTTATCGTTAACGATGTCATTTCTAGATTTAGTTTATATAGATAGAGTTTTTATTCTTCAAATTTGTTATTTTAGATTAAAAGAATCTTGGAAACGGCATAAAGAGAAAGATACAAGAACTGCCGAAACTTTTAAAACAAGAATAGACGAAAAAGAATTAGAACTCGCCAGGTATGTTTTACTTTACACAGCACATGTTTAAAGGGATTGTACACTAGTGTACACCTATTCAACACAGCACATGTTTAAAGAGATTGTACATCAATTTTACACAGTACATGTCTAAAATGGGATTGTACATCTATTTTATACAGCACATGTTTAAAGGGATTGTACATCAATTTTACACAGCACATGTTTTAAGGGATTGTTCACCTATTTTACACAGCACATGTTTTAAGGGATTGTGCACCTATTTTACACAGCACATGTTTTAAGGAATTGTTCACCTATTTTACACAGCACAAGTTTAAAGGGATTGTACACCTATTTTACACAGCACATGTTTTAAGGGATTGTACACCTATTTTACACAGCACATGTTTAAAGAGATTGTACATCAATTTTAAAGAGATGATTGAGATCATCCGTTCCGATAAAACAAAGCCTTTGAAGGTTCCGTATAAATCGGACATGGCCCGGTACAAGATGAGAGTCTCTTGTTATTATGTCTACCACCCTTTCTCGCACGCTCTTTTTTCCTAATATCTCTGCACACTCAAACAACAAGAAAAACTTTAATCTCATAGTTTAATGTTTAGATTGCGGAGTTCTGAAAGAAAATTAGTTACTGAACAGGGAAATAGGAAGAGTACGTCAAAACTATCCATCTTTTAGAGAAAAATGTGTTAGAATTAAACGCTTTTGTGTAAGTGCACAATTGCTGGATTCATAAATGTATGTATTTATGTTAATGATTGTCAAGTAAATTGAATATGTATATAAATGTAAGTGAAATTACACCAACCACCTCAATATAAAAAAATATGTAAGTCTAACTAAATTAAACGTATTTTAATGTTTTTAAGCAAAATCTTGGATTTCTTCCCAACTCAGGTTCCTCTTTTTTATCAGTTAAATGTCACGAGTTCAAGCCTGATCCCATACAGATTAGAAGTTAACTGCTATTATAAATATTATTATTTGTTTTATAGCATGGTAAGGGATAAATTTAAAAAAATATTTAAAATGCGGGGAAAAACAGATGAGATTTTAACTGATGAAACACGTTAAATAGAATTTTAAACCACTGTCTTAAATATGTATTTTTAAAATCCCCAAGCAGTGGTACTGACAGGACCATTAGGTTATCTGAGCCGGAAATTTAAGAGAGTACCTTTGAATTAAACTCACCAAGATTCTTTTATTTTAAAGGGAGTGACCGGCTTTATAAGGTAGTTGAACTGAGTATGCAGTGTTGTGAAAAACTTCTTTCGGATTCATTTGAGACATATTAAACTTTTTTAAGTGTAATATTGGTCAAGAGGAATGGAATAATCTTGTTGATGATGCGTTGGCGCAGTTCAACTTAATCCCTGATGTCATTCAAAATCCTTTGCAATTTATATTATAAATATATTATGTCAAAATTTCTTGCACCATTCATTGATCTGAAGATGGGATACTTATCAAAAGAAAAAAATATCTCTGTACGTAGAATGGAGTTTGTGAACTTGGAACAGTATTCTGTCATGGACCCCCTGGTACTATACTCAGTGTCTACACTACAGGACCATGTTTTCCAAGTAAGATTCATTTTATTCTCAAAATGGATAAACACAATCGGAAATATTTTGAGGTTTGTGAGAGATTACGGGCGAGCCATGAAAGTGTGAATTGCATAGCAACTTCATGTGCTTTATCATCTTTACCACAAACTCTGATTTTCTAACCCCTATATACTTTGCAATCTGATGTCATAGATATTTCAAACTATGAGTTCTGTTAAATCTAATATTCTTTAACCCTATTCCGACTTGTTTACCCAAAAAAGGCTGGGATGGTCATTGCCCTGGTCCCCTCTATTTTATTATTGTGATACAAATCTTTAACATTTGATACGTTTTTGAAAAGCCCTTCAACTCTACTTCTTTTTAAAAAAATGGGCAAAAGAATTACTATTTAATGCGAAATTTAATGTAAAGCAAAAAAATGTGCAAAAAGTAAAGATGCGCAAAATTCCGACAGAGAACCTGTAACAAGTAAGACTTTTATGATATCTCTGTAAATATTGAAATCAGCCATTTCTATTTTTGAATGTAGACTCATATAATTGCCGAGGAGCTGGGTACGAAGTCCAATTGTCGAAATCTCTTTCCGGTGACTTGGAACCTCTGAAAAATGTCCTCCGTTGGCTCCGTTTTTTTATCTCCTGCCTCGTCGGCCAAAAATAGCCCAACTTTGTTATATATACTCCCAAAGACTCCCAGAAAACACTAAAATAAATCCTCAAGTTTTTTATGTCAAAGCAGGGTGTCAAACATTGCGTTTTTTTATTTATTTTTATTTTAAATGCAAAAAGTGACAAGTTCTGATATAAAATTATTATTTATATTATTATATCTACCACATTGCTGAAAAAAATTTATTTGTCCAAGAAAAGAAATATTAACACCCAGTAGCCCACGAAAAATTATTTATAAAAAAAATTTTTTAACTCATAAAATATTATGATTGCAAGCTTACATCATATCTATTGGCCTATTTATTGACACTGCAATGGAAGAACCCAGTTTAAAGTTGCAGAGATTCCTTCATAGCTGCCCAGCAGGTTGTGTTGTACCACGCCACAACCTGCTTTGGTATGAGCACCAGGAGGGTTTTAAAGATCGATTTTGTAATCTTACTTAGCAATTATACAACGTACAAAAGTCTTAAAGGTCTCAATGATTTCTTAAAAAGTCTCTAAAATACTGCACTCATAGCCCAGCTATTATGTCTAGCCAGACACTCCCTTACCCCTTTTTTTATTGAATTATTATCCCTTGTTTCCATCTGTAAAGATAATTGAAAGAATCATATTTCTTTAATTACACTTATGTTTTCTTTAAGGAATTGGCATTTAAGACGTAACTCTGGGGATACAAAAGGAAAATATCAAATACGTACATACACTGACACTATTTGTTTTGGTTCCCAGTGCAATGAAGTACTATAGATCTTAAAAGACATAAAACTTTGAGAGACTGAAAAAAATTAAGTTAAAAATAGCACGTTGTGTACGTACATTTAGTGACACTATTTGTTTTGGTTCCCAGTGCAATGAAGTACTATAAATCTGAAAAGACATGAAACTGAAAAAAATTTAGTTAAAAATAGCAGTTTGTGTAAAAATATAATTTTTTTGATATTTGTTTTCAATTTTTGTGTCTTGTTGCTACTATAAAATACATAGCTAGCTTCTCAACAAAACAGAAAAAAAATTAAGTAAATTTCAGCTTTATCATTATTTATTAAAAATATTTGCTAGAAATATTTTACATTTTTCCTCCAACTCCACCGATCACCCCCTCCCCTTCATTCCCACCATTTCAAACAACTTCCATGAAATGCCTTTCTCAGAAAAACCATATTTCAATAAAACTTATGGGGATTAGACAATTGAGTTTTTGTCAAAGATTCAATTCCTTTCACTGTTATTTACATTAGACTTTTTTAGTCAAAATCACCAAAGAAATAAGAAAATAACTTTTTATTAGCTGATTGGATAATACAGAAAACCCCTTAGTCAATATTTGGTATTATCTATACAGTCATGTTCCCAGAGTATCCAGATATCTACAACTTTACTCAAGAAATCAAGGCAACATTCAATCGTAAGTTTTTAATACAGAATAATAATAATAAAACAATTGGACATTTGCTCTGCCTGGTAATGCTTGAAAAATATGACATGATCTGGAAATCTTACATGTTCAATCTGAAGAAAGGTACACTGAAATTTCTACTCAACTCCTGTTCGGACACCCTGCCAACACAAACTAACCTTCTACAATGGGGAAAATCTGTAGGCACAACAATTTTATTGAAAATATCACTGGATTAATTGATATTGACCGATTTTTGATGTATGCCGACATCCCGACCCATACCCTTCCAGGGGGAGGTACTGTTCCCTTTAGCTTTCTTGTGACCGCACTGAAGTTAGATCTAGTATAATTATCGATAGAATGCCAAGAGGAATATTTTTGAGCTTACTGTCCCATTGAAAACAAATATCAAAAATGCCAACACTCAAAAGATGAACAAGTATAAACATTTTATGACAGATATAACAACTAGGGATGTGTCTGTTCACCCTTTAGAAATCGGCTCCAGAGGATTGTTGACATATAGTCAAATAAATAATGGACAATAAGAATATTTTATTGAAATAAAACAAAGAATGTAAATAAAGTTTATAAATAGTTTTCTATAAAGGGATAGAAAATGGTTAGACAGAAACTAGGATTATTGATTAAGAAACTTAACAGGGTGGCCAAAATGTACGGATTGTACGGATTGTACGGATTTGTTTTCAAATTGTACGGATTGTACGGATTTTATCCTGGAAAATACACCGTTTTTTTTTTTAATTTTCACCCATTTCAGCAAAATTTTCATAAAAATGTCAAAAAAAAATTCACGTCAAAATAAAGTTAGTTTAACTTATTTTCTTCATTCTAAATAATATTAGATTGATTAATGTTTCAAATGACAATCAAAATTCATTCATAATTTTTGAGATATGTCCCAGAAGTGTTCATTTGAGAATATGTTCCAGAAGTGTTTGGGGGGGGAGAAAGAGGTGGTGGGGAATGGGGGGGGGTGAGACAGTGATGAATAATATTTTCAAAAATGGTTTTATTTTTCTTAAATGTATGGATAGCAGGGATTTTTTTTTCGAAAATTGTACTGATTGTACGGATTGTTTAAAAAATGTGCGGGTTTTTTCAAAAAAAATGTACTGATTGTACGGATTTTTTTGTGAAAACTGTACGGATTGTACGGATTTTTTCTGAAAATGTACGGATTTTTTCAAAAAAGTTTTGGCCACCCTGAAACTAACAGGGAACAGCTGGAACTTCATGTTAACAGGTTCTCGGCATCTTGATAGCAGTTTCACTCCTATCTAGGCTTTGGTGTCAGGGATGATTTGGGTTACTAGTTACTTATGGCTTGTTCCTGACATTTTGTTGGCTTCAACATTAGTAGCATCCACTGAAAGGGCTGGGATCTGATTTATGAAGGAGTTGGGCGACCCTTTAAGGCCGGAGGTGTATACATCACGGCATTTCTATTCCAACTGAAGGTCGGTAGGCAGAGAGAGAGATAGGGGGTGACTGGTAATGTTAGTTCAACATGTTGAACCAGAAGAATGATATCTGTGTTGAAAATATTACAGGGTAAACTTTAGCACAGGCTTCCTCAGGATCGTCTTCCATATCATTAGAATTTTTTTATTGACTTATCCCGACAAGGATTTATCTCACCATCAAATAAAGCAAATCTAAAGAAACTGCATATGTTCTGCAAATCAAGTTTCAAAGCACTGTGCGAAAATATATCAAGCCTTGCAGTGCTGCCATCATACCGCAAAAACGAAAAACGAAAAACACTATAGACATGGGACCAAGAAACTCCTTTTCTGAAAACCATCTCTGAATAACTAAACTATGGCACCTTGTATGGCACCTGTTTTTTTTGGCAAACCCTGTCAATCATAAAATGCGATATCTTGAGAAAGAGTATTAATCCTTAAGCGTAATTTAAATTCTCCCTTCATTCAACAATGGCTTATGCCAGGCAAAATTTTAGCCCTTTGATTGTTCATTGAGGATAAAGAACTCTCTGTGTATATCTCAAAAGCATCGTTCAAATTACCGTGAGTACTGAGTGTAACAGTGTAAATTCAACTCAGCCGCCAATATTTATTTTTTGTCACTTTTAGAAAATTATTATTACAATTTCTTTCATGTTAAAAAGCTTGCTAACAAAGTGTTTTACCTTGGCGTTTTGTAGATTTTTAAAATAAGCTTGACTTCCCTGATCACTCCAAAGTGTAGAGGGTAATGTAAATCGGACACGCCACTCTAAAAATAGGGGGTCAATTGAATTTACGCATACACCCCTATATTAGAAATCAACCCATTCACAATTGATGAAATAAACATTTCATCTTTAAAGTAGGGAATTTGTTTAGATATCTTCAAACTGAAAGGGAACTAGAATTATAATCAAAATTTTCCATAATTTCTGCTTAGTCAAAGTTCAAGGGCTCCTCTTCTGTGGAAGAAGGCAAGCAACTCTAACAACAATGGTTTACTTAATAGTAAATGGAATTACTTAAACAGCCCCCTTAGTATAACAAAACTTTACCCCTGATATAATGCAGAAAATGTAAAGGAATTATATTTCTAGATAACTGTATGCTGCCTGGAATACAATTACTGGTAAGCATAATAGTTTTTTAGACTTTTAAAGATATTAAAACAATAGCACTGGATTTCCTAGAACCTTTTGGTTAACTCAGCTGTTCACATTTTGCATTGAAAGTAGGGTTAAAGATCATAAACCTTTCAATATTTGTGGAACAGCACATTACATATTATAGGTCAGTACTATCTAGTACAAGATAGCGCTGATCAACACCTAAACTCTACATAGATACAGCAGAAACTCTAATTTTCTTTCAATAAAGTCTAATCATGCCTTACCCTTTATATAAGAAAAGAATTAAATATCAAACGGGTTGATGTACACTGTACAGACTTTTAACATATAATTTGTATTGTTAGGATAGTGGGATTGGACATTTTCCAGCTATTTCTTCTGGGGAGCATTGTTCTTCTATCTGTCTAGAAATACCTGATTGTAAGTCATGGACTATAGACTTAAGTAAGTTCTTTTATTCCTTAGTACCACTCAGTACCCCCCAGGACTCTCCAGCACTGGGGGGTACTAGGGGTACCAGAGGTACAGGCGGTACAGCGTGTTCTGCATGCTACACTCCACTACTGTTCAGTACCATGTAATAACCATGTACCTCTATTATCCCGCAGTACCACCCAGTTCCCAGTAGTACCCAGCAGTGCCCAACAGTAGTCCCCACTATCCCCTATTCCCCCTGCCCCACTACCCTCATTACCCCTCAATACCACCCAATACCCAAGAAGTACCTAGCAATACTTCACAGAACCCAGAGATACCTTGCAGAACCCCACAACACCCCTAGTACCTCTAGTAACCAGTACCCCTCCAGTACCCTCTGTACCCAACAGTACCACATCGTATGCAACAGTACCATCCCCCCCATACCCCACATTACCACCCAGAACCCAGCAGTACTTTGAGTACCCTGTTACAATAACTTTCCATAAAGCAGATTTTTGGGAGTACAAATTGGTGTGGTTGCCATCCCTCCCTCTATTGAGAGATTTGCTGTAAATTGTGTAGTGTTAAACCAGCTTTTACATAAATAGAAATAATGCAAAAGTAAAACTAGAATTAAATTATACCTAGAATGCTTCTTTATAAGTACTAAATATTGTTGTTCAAAATAAAAATTCCATTTGGTATTCCTTGTTCCACCCAGTACCCCCAGAACACAGCAGTACTCTGAGTACCCTATTACAAGTACTTTCCATCGAGCAGATTTTTGGTATTACAAATTGGCATTGTTGCCATCCCTCCCTCTGTTGAGAGATAGGCTGATTATTGTTTGATGTTAAACCATGCTTTTACATAAATTGAAATAATGCAAAACCAGAATAAAATGATACTTCTATGTAAATACTAAAAATTGGCAAATCCTATATGCAGAATCTTTCCTACTTTCTGAAAGGTTTTACATCGGCATGTTTAAGGATATTTACTCGATATAAAGCAATATTTATCAATATTTATTTTGACTTACAAGCTCTTAACTAAATGAATTTAGAAAAAGTATACCGATTTAAGAAAGTTTTAAAAATATATTTACATTATCCAGAATAAAAAGTTTTATCAAAAATGAAACTTTCGGATTATAGGACGTTTATAAAAATAATTTCTGACACCCCTAGGCTTTGTACGGTAACCGCCAAAAAAGTCCTTGGAAAAAAGTTTCCGGAAAAAGTTCCAAAATTTCACACTAAAAAAGTCCTGTGGAAAAAATTTCTTTTTCTAAAAATTCTCTGGAAATTAAGTCCTGCCTATTAAAGACTTTATTTTTTAGGACTTTTTTCAGGCTCCAGTATGATTTTATACAAAAAAATCCTCGGAAAAAAGTTCTCTAACAAGTGAAAACTCATGATTCACATTGTAAAAAAGTCCTGGTTGTAAACATCCTATCAATACATACATTACAACTGTATGTTGGCAAGGGTAAATAATTTTCAAAAAAGAAATATAAAATATATTTATAAAATATGTATATATTTATCACGAGTTTAGTTAGCATTTTCTTTTTCATATTAATTAAGAATATAAAACTAGTCCTGTATAGTACACTTTTTATGGGGGATTTTATACACAACTTTTCTTTGGACTTTTTTTCCGCAGACTGAAACTACTGAGTTCAAATTTCCTGAGACTTAGGACTTTTTTCTAGGTTTTTTCCCTCGGATTTATTTTCTTCAGGACTTTTTTCCTTAAATCTTATTTCCTGAGACGTTATTGGCAGCCCCCATACTATTTTAGGAAAAAAAGTCCCAGGAATCCAGTGACATTTTTTCCAAGGACTTGAGAAAATTCCGACTTTTTTCCAAAGTTTTATTTCCAGATTTTTTTCCAGAAACTTTTTTTCCCGGGACTTTTTTACATAGATTCGCTTTGTACGGCTATTTACAAAAAAATCAAACTTTAGTCCTTCAATTATCAAACAGGGAAATTTTCATCTTTCTAAATATCCCCGGGAAAGATTTTTCACCTTCATTAAGCCGTGGCTCAAATTCTTTAAATTCGGCCTCAAAATATTTGCTTTTACCAGTTATTTTTGTGTTCTTCATAATTACTTTTTACTAAAGGAATAAGTCGGTGTTGGGCAGCATCCGGTCAGTGGAGGTACGCTTATGATGACAAATTCATTACCGGGTCTAAAGGATGCTAGAAGAACCAACATCACACAGATTAAAGATATGCTAGAGGAGTTGATACATTTTTTCTGCAAGAAATTTTTATATTAAAAGCTTTTTTAGTTAAAATATTAAAAATTAATCAATGCGGGATAGAAACCAGAGAGTTGTTGTAATAAAACCTGTGTCAGTTTATAGTTTATACATATACTACATATGGCATCAAATGATACGCGTCTGAAGCCAGTTTCTGCATTGCAAAATTGTAAATTATAAATAAAAACCTAATCTTAATCCTATTAAAAACCATTTCTGTGGCCAGTAAAATTAAAGTAATTATGAAAATCTGCCTCCCTCCCCATATTGTTTAGTCTTTATTTGCTTTAATTATCTGATTCTAAAGTACACTTAATATCAAGTAACACCTTCCATTTGTTTTCAAGCTGTTATGGATAAAAAAATATACTTTATAGACAGCGATAACCAGAAAACTTTTAAATGTGAAGACGACTTTCAGACTGAAGATATGACTTTAAATGGTCCAATAAGCATTGTATGCAGTAATTGTACAGTTTAAATAGACCCATTACACTTAATTAGTGGTTTAGTAAGTGTCTAGTAGAACTATTTGCTTTGTAGCTCCATCAAATACACTTAACTATTGCTTTCAAGTCGTCTTCCTATTTTAGAGTTATCTGGTTATCATAGTTTTCCGTTAAATTGCATGGATGGTTACTTGAAATTACGCTTAAAGTCCCGTATGTTAAATTATAATTTAAATTAAAACCTTCATTTAAGAATGTTAGATAAGAAGTTTGGCTTTGTATTAAGAAATATCTGCGAAATCTTCATTTGGCTTAATTTTGTGGTTTTAAATGTGAAGACGACTTTCAGACTAAAGATATGACTTTAAATGGTCCAATAAGCATTGTATGCAGTAATTCTACAGTTTAAATAGACCCATTACACTTAATTAGTGGTTTAGTAAGTGTCTAGTAGAACTATTTGCTTTGTAGCTCCATCAAATACACTTAACTATTGCTTTCAAGTCGTCTTCCCATTTTAGAGTTATCTGGTTATCATAGTTTTCCGTTAAATTGCATGGATGGTTACTTGAAATTACGCTTAAAGTCCCGTATGTTAAATTATAATTTAAATTAAAACCTTCATTTAAGAATGTTAGATAAGAAGTTTGGCTTTGTATTAAGAAATATCTGCGAAATCTTCATTTGGCTTAATTTTGTGGTGAACCCAAATCGTTATAAATATGAAGTGAAAGAATCTTAGAATTTTAAAACTATAATTATATCTTTGTTTTTAAATTGACAAAATAACAAAATCTTCGGATTTGATGATTGACGATAGCGTTTCTTTAAACGTCAGAATAAGGTCATTTTTAGAATAGCTTTACACTTATGTCACGCAGCACGCTTCACCTTGCAAAATGCTTGTATACTGTATCTTATTTTAAAGAATAATAAAAAGCTTATTTCATACAAAAAACTTATTTTTGCAGTTGTTTTGTGTGAGCTATAGAGCATGTGAGAACTTGTTTTTAAATATTAATTTTGTAAGTGAAAAAAGAGTATATGTCATCAAAGTCAAATTCTTAACAAATCTAACAGGAAAAATATGAACTTCTGATATCATATTATTACAAATGTACAGTTTTCACATCCCTAATAATGTTTGCAGATTTATACAAAACAGCTTGCCAATTTCAGGGATATAAATAATGTCAGAAATATTATTAAAATTGTAAAAAATTAATATTTTTCCGCATCGATAATCATCAATTATGTTTGTTTGTATCATTGTATGGTGATAAAAACGATTGCTTTTAATAATTTACAAGTAATATTCAAAAAATACAGCGGCTTTTGGTGCTCAGTTGTACTTTAATTTTTAAGTTGAGGATATATAGGTTTTTAACACAATTCATTGATTATACAGCGTACTGTACACAATACAATGGATACTTAAAATTGATTATTAAATTATTCTAAGGAAGACTGCGGATTTCTAACTAATATTTTCATAGATTTTTTTTTATCTGATTATATGAAGTTTATGAAATTCATTAAATTGACCTTTCAGCGCTAAGAAATTTTTCCCACCGTCATTTTTGCCCAGCAGTCGGCAACACGAATCAATGAATCGATGAAACTCGACATAGGAACCTCAATTTAAACAGCTTTCTCAGAGAAATTGGTCCTGGTACATTGAAACCGAGTATTGAGGATGAATTTAATTGTGACTTACAATAATAACCAAAAACAAAGGAATGGGAAGACGATATTATATCAGTATTTGATGTTACATTAGAAAGCTATATTAGATTTTTATTAGATCACTAACTTAAACTGTACAATCACTGTGTCTAATGCTAATTGCACATTTTAAAGTTAACTTGATTCTAAAAGTCGTCTTCCTCCTATTTCAGTTTTCGTGTTATCAGTTATTCAGAGGCGCAACTAGGGGGGGCGNCCCCTAGCAAAAGTCCTAGTTGCGCCTCTGCAGTTATCACTTTATATACATACACATACAAATTTTATTATCCCGCCATTATTATTTGGTAAAAAATGATCATTAGTAATTTTGTACTTATGATCTGGAATACTTAAAATATTTGCTCAAACAAACCAATTTTTTTCTGTAATTATTAGTTGCAATTGAACAACAAATTTGTTCAAACTGACTATAATGTTTTTTTTTCATTAAATGTTTAAAGTGCAATTAAACGTTAGTGCAGATGAGCATTTCTTGCAAAAAAACGGACTAATGTTTTCTTTCTGTAAATATTAGTGCAATTGAACAATAGTGCAAATGAACATGTTTTTTTTTTGCAAATATTCCCTACTAACCTGAAAACCTAAAAATACTAAAGCCTCTATATAGGTACACGTATTTTTAGGTTTACGTAAAAATTCGTATATGCTCCACTTTCTGGTTAAGAACTTTCGTTTATTTACGTTAGTATGTAGAACACATTGTGTTAGGTATTTTCCCAAAGGAAACTTCCCAAATGTTCAATTTCCCAAACGGCAACTTCCCAAAGTTTAGGTTAGGCCTTCTGAGGCGCGGTGGGCTGCGGCTACAGTGATAATCAGAAAACTCTGAAATAAGAAAACGACTTTTAGATTCAAGTTATGACTTAAAATATTCCAACGAGCATGGAACACGTCCATTGTTCAGTGTAATCAGACCCATTTACTTAATTAGTGATTTGCTTTATGTCTCGTAAAACTTTTTGCTTTATGACAACATCAAAGTTACTTCAAATATGCAGTACGCTCTCGTTATAGTTCATGGCCTTATACAATTAGTAAAGGATTAGCGTACATCATCACTCTAACCACTTTAACCTCGTTGTATATTACCAAAAATATAATGACTCTAAATATATGAAAGAACCGTAAATAAAATCAAAATATATATTGAGAACAGACCTCAATGAAGTCCATATAACGCCGTGTCTGATAATAAATAATAAATTGATCATATTAATATATATATATATATATTTAAGGAAATATCTTTTTATTTGCTGATTGGATAATACAGAAAACCCCTTAGTCAATATTTGGTATTATCTATACAGTCATGTTCCCAGAGTATCCAGATATCTACAACTTTACTCAAGAAATCAAGGCAACATTCAATCGTAAGTTTTTAATACAGAATAATAATAATAAAACAATTGGACATTTGCTCTGCCAGGCAATGCTTGAAAAATATGACATGATCTGGAAATCTTACATGTTCAATCTGAAGAAAGATACACTGAAATTTCTACTCAACTCCTGTTTGGACACCCTGCCAACACAAGCTAACCTTCTACAATGGGGAAAATCTGGAGGCACAACAATCTTATTAAATATATCACTGGATTAATTGATATTGACCGATTTTTGATGTATGCCGACGTCCCGTCCCATACCCTTCCAAGGGGATGTACTGTTGGCCCAAACTTCCTTGTGACCGCACTGAAACCAGATCTAGTATAATTATCAATAGAATGGAGGAAAAGAGGAATATTTTTGAGCTTACTGTCCCATTGAAAACAAATACCAAAAATGTCAACACTCAAAAGATGAACAAGTAGGAACATTTTATGACAGATATAACAACTAGGGATGTGTCTGTTCACCCTTTTGAAATCGACTCCAGAGAATCTATCTGACCATCAAATAAAGCAAATCTGAAGAAACTGCATATGTTCTGCAAACCCAGTGTTAGTTTTAAAGCAATGTGCGAAAATATATCAAGCCTTGCAGTGCTGTCATCATACCACATTTTTAGAAAACGAAAAACGTACTAGACTGGGACCAAGAAACTCCATTTCTAAAAACCACCTCTTAATAACTAAACTATACTCGTGCTAAAAGTCTTGTATGGCACATGTTTTTTGGCAAACCCTGTCAATCATAAAATGCGATATCCAGAGAAAAGAGTATAAGTATTTGATTGTAAACTTTTATATCGTTTTTAATGTAATTTTGCTTTAGACAAACATAAATGTTGAATATATATTTACTGTCATTCATTGTAATTTCAATTCTCCCTCCATTCAACAATGGCATATGCCAGATTGAATGGTAAAATTTTAGCCCTTTGATTGTTCATTGAGGATAAAGAACTTTCTGAGTATATCTTAAAAGTATCATTCAAATTCCTGTGAATATGGAGTGTAACAGTGTAAACCCAACTCAGCCGAATATATTTATTTTCTCTTACTTTTAGAAAATAACTATTACTATTTCTTTCATGCTTAAGAATAAGCTCGACTTCCTTGATCACTCCAAAGTGTAGAGGGTAATGTAAATCAGACACGCCACTCTACAAATAGGGGGTCAATTGAAATTACGCATACGCCCCATTATTAGAAATCAACCCATTCAGAATTGATGAATTAAACATTTAATCTTTAAAGTAGGGAATTTGTTTAGCTATCTTGAAAGGGAACTAGAATTATAATCAAAATTTTCCATAATTTCTGCTTAGTCAAAGTTCAAGGGGCTCCTCTTCTGTGGAAGAGGGCAAGCAACTCTAACAACAAAGGTTTACTTAATAGTAAATGGAATTACTTAAACAGCCCCCTTAGTATAATGAAACTTAATCCCTGATAAAATGCAGAGAATGTAAAGGAATTGTATTTTTAGATAACTGTATGCTGCCTGGAATACGATTACTGGTAAGCATAATATTTTTAAAATTTTTCAAGATATTAAAACAATTGCACTGGATTTCCTAGAACCTTTTGGTTAACTCAGCAGTTCACATTTTGCATTGAAAGTAGGGTTAAAGATCATAAATCTTTCAATATTTGTGGAACAGCACATTACATATTATAGGTCAGTACTATCTAGTACAAGATAGCGCTGATCAACACCTATAAAACTCTACATAGATACAGCAGAAACTCTAATTTGCTTTCAATAAAGTCTAATCATGCCTTACCCTTTATATAAGAAAAGAATTAAATGGTTTGATGTACACTGTACAGATTTTTAATATATAATTTGTATTGTTAGGATAGTGGGAATGGAGACTTTTTTTCATCTATTTATTCCGGGGAGCGATGTTCCTCTATCTGTCTGGAAAGACCTACTTGTAATTCATGGACTATAGACTTGGGTAAGTTTTCTTTAAACAGTTTACAATATCCCACTGGAACGACATATAACTGTATGGTACAGTGCTGTTTCAAAGAATGAGAAGTTAAGGACAACCAAAAACCCTTTTTTTTCTAAAGGTTGGCTTTTATCCTCAATCTTGAATATAGTATTTTAATGGTGTACTTAATAATTTTGGTCAAGAAGGAACAATCAGTATCAGCGGAAATACTGTTTAGTCATCACTTCTTATCCTTTGTAGGTAGCCCTGCACGCACATTCCAAACCTGCACACCCATTTTCAGGGGTGTATATTTTTAAGAAATTAAGAATATATTTTTACCCAAACATCTGTTTATTTTCCACTAAAAATTATTTATTTCCCAGTGGAATTTTAATACAAAATAAATAATCTAAATAACCTGTGTTCCAGTTTGAGCGCCGGATTAAATTTTGAAACAGAGGGAGGGATGGCAACCACACCAATTTGTATTCCCGAAAGGGAAGGTATACTACATAGTATGCAACAGTATCCCTAGCACCATCCAGAACCCAGCAGTACTCTGAGTACCCTGTTAAAAGCACTTTCCATAGAGCAGATTTTTGGTATTACAAATTGGCATTGTTGCCATCCCTCCCTCTGTTGAGAGATGAGCTGATTATTGTTGAGTGTTAAACCATGCTTTTACATGAATTGAAATAATGCAAAACCAGAATAAAATGATCCAGAATAATAAGTTTTATCAAAAAATTAACTTTATCCATTTAAAACGTTTAAAATAATATGTTAAAAATAATTTCTGACACCCCTATCCTTTGTACAACTATTTAATTTACAAAAAAACTGAGCTGAAAACTTTAGAATGGTGAATATCAAGATTAATGCTTGCACTCCTGGTTTTACTAAACCCGAGATTATTTTAACATGCATTCGATATCCCTTTACCCTTTGAAAAGTCATATCAATTGAACTAAACATGGATATAATAAATGTAAGTTTTGGATTAATGTTTGTTAAGACTTACGTTCAAAATGATGATAGTCCTAAAATGTGATAAAATATATTTTTTAATAAGTTCATATTAACATGATTATAACGATAAATTACTACTTAACCGGGAGTTTTCATGAGGATAATTAAATTATCCTCCCTTAATCTCCCTGTTAAGTAGTAATTAATAGTTATAATCTCCTGTTCAACGAAATAACCAACCTTAAATTCCCTCCTTTTTTATTTCCAGGGAGGATGATTATTTATCCTCCCTATTTACAGGGAGGATAATTACTTATCCTCCCTATTTACAGGGAGGATAATTACTTATCCTCCCTATTTACAGGGAGGATAATTACTTATCCTCCCTCTTTACAGGGAGGATAATTACTTATCCTCCCTGTGATCTATACAGATTTATCAAATAAATAGTTCTCTAATTTAATTTTATTTTTACATTTATCGCTCTCTCAATCAATTTGAATAAAATAGTAACTACACCTAGTTTAATATTTGATCTAGGAAAGATCAAAACATGTACATACAGCTTTACTGAGCTGTCATCAAATATATTATACTACATCATTCTTTTCGGGTTTACATAATTACATTGTAAAGTTGTTCCCATGAAAATGTTCGATAATTACTATTTTGTCTGCATTTTGAATCACATAGGGCTTTCTACTCTGAGGAGGTGAAGCTGAGGAACACTTTTCAATATTCTCTATAATGACTTCGCTAACCTCTGTTTTTTTCTACTTGATTAGAAGGTCCTTGAAGTTTANTTTCTTAAAAAGTCTCTAAAATACTGCACTCATAGCTCAACTATTTTGTCTAGCCAGACACTCCCTTATCCCTTATTTTATCAAATCATTATCCTTTGTTTCCATATGTAAAGATAATTGAAAGAATCCTATTTCTTTAATTACACTTATGTTTTCTTTAAGGAATTGGCATTTAAGACGTAACTCTGGGGATACAAAAGGAAAATATCAAATACGTACATATACTGACACTATTTGTTTTGGTTCCCAGTGCAATGAAGTACTATAAATCTTAAAATACATGAAACTTTGAGATACTGAAAAAATTTAAATTAAAAATAGCACGTTGTGTAAAAATAGAATTGTTTCAGATATTTTTCTTAAGTTTTTGTGTCTTGTTGCTAAGTTATTTCTATTAAATATTTAGCTAGCTTCTTAACAAAACAGAAAAAGTAAATTTCACTTCTATCATTTAAAATTTTTTCAATAATATTCTACATTGTTTGGAGGAAATTGCTCCCTTCATTACCTTTTCCTTCAACTCCACCGGTCACCCCCTTCCCTTCATTCCCACCATTTCAACAATTTTTGCCTTTTTTTCAGAAAACCCATATTTCTATAAAACTGGTTAAAAATTCTTTCAAATTCACCCGTTTTTTTGACAAGCTTTATTATCTTCCTATATAGGATTTTGCAAATGCATATAACATTTTTGATTTATGTATTATCGAATTAATCTTACATAAAACATAACAAAAAGCATTTTATGCCCCAACTTACTTCCCCCCCCCCTACTCACAACCACATCTTTCCTTCCCCCTTCCCTTTGCACGACCACCTTCAATTTCATGACTTAGATTTATGAATATTTTATCATTATTACATTTTCAATTTTCTAAACAAACAATGCATAGCATGAAATAGGTTTCATAAATTTTTAAATTATAATTTTATAAATTTGAAAATTAAAATATATGAATTTGCAGAGTTTTTAAAATTAGATTTCTATTTCACAATAAAAGTCTTTGCCACTAACTCGGATTTTCTAAACCCTATATCTTTGCAACCCAATGTCTTAGGTCTTAGATATTTCTAACTATAATTTCTGTTAGATCAAATAATCTATGTTTAAAATATCAAAGATATACCCAATCATTAGGAAGCAAAGATATGGGGATTAGAAAATTTGAGTTTGTGTCAAAGACTCAATTCCTTTCACTGCTATTTACGTTAAAATTTTGTTGGTCGAAATCACCAAAGAAACAAGGAAATATCTTTTTATTTGCTGATTGGATAATACAGAAAACCCCTTAGTCAATATTTGGTATTATCTATACAGTCATGTTCCCAGAGTATCCAGATATCTACAACTTTACTCAAGAAATCAAGGCAACATTCAATTGTAAGTTTTTAATACAGAATAATAATAATAAAACAATTGGACATTTGCTCTGCCAGGCAATGCTTGAAAAATATGACATGATCTGGAAATCTTACATGTTCAATCTGAAGAAAGATACACTGAAATTTCTACTCAACTCCTGTTTGGACACCCTGCCAACACAAGCTAACCTTCTACAATGGGGAAAATCTGGAGGCACAACAATCTTATTAAATATATCACTGGATTAATTGATATTGACCGATTTTTGATGTATGCCGACGTCCCGTCCCATACCCTTCCAAGGGGATGTACTGTTGGCCCAAACTTCCTTGTGACCGCACTGAAACCAGATCTAGTATAATTATCAATAGAATGGAGGAAAAGAGGAATATTTTTGAGCTTACTGTCCCATTGAAAACAAATACCAAAAATGTCAACACTCAAAAGATGAACAAGTA